GGAGGAGCAAATAGTTTACAGGAGAAGAGGCCAGAGGGACAAGAGTTTCCTATGCTTTTTCGTAGAAGCAGCATGGGCCAAAGACCAGGGGAGCAAACAGCGTCCCTAGCTCTCTTGAAAAAGAAAATGTAGTCACATTCTAAACACAGCTTGAAACAGTCACATTGTTCCACTTTCAAATGAACATAAAATAAAATTCCTGGACAGATTCCTTCTTCCCACCCCTCGGAATTAGTGGGAAGTGAGTTGAGACATATTTCATTTTTCTTGAAAAGGCTTTCTCAGCTCCTTGGCTCCTGCTGAGTCAGGCCACCCCCACCACCTACAGATTCAAAGCCTTCAACCATTCATTCAGTAGCATTTTCTGCAAGGCGATGAGATGCCAAGCACTGAGCGCACAAGGCTGTCCGTTTGTGGGCCTTGGTTTAGCCTGGTCATGGCATCCGTGGTTGAGCCTGACTTCAATGAGCATTGACGGGACAGACTGATTCCTGGACGACAGGAGTTCCTAGCAGGTAGGGCAGGTCAGGTTAAGATCTGCCAGGATTTCTCTGATGATTATAAGAGCAATGACTTTGGAGTCAGGTGGTTCATCCTATTAGGTTCTTTTCTATCCATGTGGCCTTACACAATTCACCTCATCTCTTTCAGCCTGTTAGCTCACATATCAAATGGTGTTTGTAACATCTACCTCACAGGACTCCTGGAGAGATCAGAAGCAATGTCTGCCAAGGGAAGTTTGCAGGCCCATCAGACCAAAGCCCAGACCACAAAGCTCCAGGATAATGAAGCCTAAGACGTCACAGGCTCAGAAAGCAGATGCTGTAAGCCAGTAATGCCAGACTCACTGTCACTGAGTGTGCTGGCCCAACACTTCCCTATTTACAATGGCCCTTCAAAGCACCTAGTCTGGTACTGGACAGATTAGGAGACCCAGCCCCAGAAAGGGTGGATGTTTCCTCAAGGCCACACACCATGGTGGTGGTCCACCTTACATTGGATCCTGGGTGTATGGCAGGAACAATTTGATTATCCAGAAGGCTGCACTTACTGTGCTTAAGAGGATAGGTGTTGGAGCCTAACAGGCTTGAGCTCTGACATTCTCATTCATTCAACTAATGAATAAACAGGCCAGTCCTCCTTATGAGGGCAGACCAGGGAGGGCCCTAGGTGATGGGGTCAGTGGGGGAGGGGAGGAGGGCATTCAAGGTATGAATCTCAAGAAGGGGACATCAGAGTTGGGCCCTGGACGCCAGAAAGGAGCCAGCCTTGCAGAGACTGGCAAAGGATGTCCAGGCAAATATGGGAGTGAGGAAAGATGAGGCTGAGTGAGCCAAGGAGAAGGGAAGGGGCAGAGGTCATGTCAGACTTGGAAGGTCACAGCAAGGAGCTTGGCCCTTAGACACAGAGCAGAGGTGGCCACTGGATGGTGGGAGCAGGTGAACGACAGCATGTGACCTATTTTTCCCAAAGGCTCACTCTGGCTGCTGCTGTTTGTGTGGAGCTCCATGACTCTGCCCTTGGGCAATTGCTTGAGCTCTCTGAACCTCAGTTCTCATCTGCAAAATGGGGATGAAACAGTACCAGCCTCCCTGGCTCCATTGGAGGCTGACAGATACACTCCACACAGAGCTATGTGCTGTGTGCATTGTGAGTTCCAAACAGAACACTGCTTCTCCATGTCACCATATCTGAAGCCCTCATCCCCACCCTCGGGGCCCAGCCTGCCCTGAACTGGAGTACAACCATGAACTACTGTGATTTGAACTCTGTCCTCAGCCCGGGGGTCGAGGCCAAAGCTCATTAAGTTCCTATCCATCACAGGTCAGCAGGGGGAGGTCAGTGGAGCCAAGTGACAGAGTGACTAGGCCCCTCTCAATGAGGCTCACAGGTGGCCTTAGCATCCATCAGAGTCACAGCTTGTCCTCTAGGTGCCTGAGATATACAGCATGCCCCAATCACGGTCTGGCAAAGAGGTGGTGAGAAGCGATGATTGCCTTGGCCGCCCTGCAGACAGATTTACTACGGTATAAAGAAACAATTTCACTCCTGGCAGTGACAGGCAGCCGCCTGTCTGTGCTTGTAGAAACCCTGGGAGTCAAGCCTGGGGGAAGGGGTTCTACCCACACCTGTACTGCCCGGGGTCCTGGGCAGAGCCGATGACCATTTATTTCCCTGTGCTCCAGGCCATCCTGCCCCAGAAGCCACCACCTGTCACATTTCACGGCATCTGGACAATGAGTCCAAGTTCCCTATGTGGCCCTGCATCAAGGGTCCTCAGGCTCTTGACACCACCCAGGCCAGTTGCAGAGTGAAGCAGTTAAGGACCAAGCTTGGAGACAGTTAAATGTGGGTTCGAGTTCTGGCCATACCACACGTTAGCCAGGGTACTTTGGGTGAGTAACTCGTTCCCTGAACCTCCACATCCTCACCTCTAAAATGAAGGGCCAGAAACTCCTGCTTTACAGCGTTCTTGTGCAGCTTAACCAGGAGAGAAATGGTGAAAGCGTGGAACATGGCAGTAGTGTAAACAAGAGGTCACAGTCACCACTATACTGTCCAGGAATTTCAGTACCAACGTTCCTCGAGTCACAGTGATGTGGATACCGACAAACACATCAGAAATTGAAAATTTCCTAAGTCAAAAATGCATTTAGTCCACCTGACCTACCAAACATTGGAGCTTAGCAACACAGTTTTCCATAGATATGGGTGGTTTCCCTCCAGGTCCAGTTGGTCGATTGGGAACTCTGCTCACTGCCCAGCAGCAAGAGACAGTACCATGCCCCGTATTGCTAGCCTGGGGAAAGATTAGAATTCAAACTCTGAGGTATGGTTGCTACTGAATGTGTATGGCTTTTGTACCATCATAAAGTCAAAAAAAAATCCCAAGTCATATCAACATAAATCAGGGACTATCTATATTATATGAGATGTCTTTTATTGAGGGCCAGTTATATCCCTAGAGAGTAGTCTTTTTAAAGACTTCATCTCTAGACTTCAGAACTAATCCTGCAAGTAGGTATTGTTAGGCTCACTGTGGGATGTTTGAGGGACTATCAAAGGTCCTAGGCTGGTGAGGTTTGGGGCTGGGATAGATCTTGGCCCTATTGATTCTGGGGCTGCCACTCCTCCTGACACACATCCTGACCCCAGCTCCTCTGAACAGCCATATAAGACCAAGCAGGGAAGTCCACACTCCCTTCCTCCTTCTCTGCAGTGACATTTCACGAGCATCAGCTCCAAGACAAGCCCTTGGCTACACAATGGGTGCAGCAAGATGAACGCGATGAACACAGAACATTATCCACCCTTGAGGAGCTCAAGCCGTGGAGAAAATTAGATCCACACCACACAGAACATGTGTGTACCAGTTCGTTTTTGGTATGCAATAAATGGTCCCAAAACTTTATGGTTTAAGAAAGAACCATGTATTATCTCTCCCAGTTCTACAGCTTGCTCAGGCAGCTTCTTCTAATTAATCGTGCAGTAACACTCACCTGACAGGCCAGCTGAGCTGGAAGGTCCAAGATGGCCTCATCCATGGGTCTTGCAATTGATACAGACTGTTCATGGGATTTGTGCATCTTTTCCAGATGTCCTTAAACCATCCAGTAGGCTACACTGGCTTCCTTACAGAGTAGAGTTCCAGGAGGACACAAGCAAAAACTACGAGTCCTCTGGAGGTCTGGGACCAGAAATCCACACAATGTCACTTTCACCACATTCTATTGGTCAAAGCAAGTCATATTCTACTGCTTGGCTAGTATCTGTGACACAGATTTGGGCCTATTGGGTAAAGCTTGGTGGTCAATTCAGATGAGGCCAAGTGGGACCATAAATGTCCAATAAATTTTTAGTATTGATTAAAGGAGGTTAAATTTGTGAGGTCATTAGGTCATATCCTTTGACATAAAGAAAGTCATTTAGTGTGAGAACAGAATCAGTATATCATCAAACCAGTTTTCATTTATCTTTTTTTTTTTTTGGCAGTACTGGGGTTTGAACTTAGGGCATAGTACTTACTGGGCAAGTGCTCTACCACTTGAGCCATGCCTCCAGCCCCGTTTTTCATATAAAGAAACAGACCCAGAAACAGGAATTGTCTTGCCCAAAGTCACATAGCAAGTTTGTGACAGGGCCAAGAGTGACTGGGGTACCTACCAGTCAGCCCACTCCTCCTTCCACTCACCCCACGAGGGCTCCCAGGGCAGCTGGATGGTTCCTCAGCAGGATGAGTCTCCTCTGCCTGTCCCTGATAAAGGTTTATACACTGAGCCCCTTCAGCACTAGTGAGACCCTTAGTCACCATCTCATCTGGTCCTAACAGGACTGCTCCCATTTTATGGATGAGAAATTGAGGCCCAGCGAGGGCAGCTGACTCATCCAGGGTCCCAGCTGACTCACCGGGGGTCTGTCTGCCCAAAGCCAAAGCCTGAGTCTCGCATGCTGCCCCAGACAGAACTGACCCTAACTTAGGCCCCAGGGGATGAGAGGCAGCTCCAGGCCTGTGAGTCTTGAGGTGAGGGCCACTGTCTGAGGAACTGTTTCAATGGCCTTGGTGGAGGCGGCAATAGCCAGAGGCCCCTTGGAACCACCTCTGAAAGTGAAGAGTCTGAGCAATGCCTGGTCTACACCTCTACTATTATACAGAGAAAAAAAAAAAATCCAGGCCAGCTTAGAGCCAAGGCCTCCAACCCCAAGTGTACTGGGGGGCTGGGTAGGCAAGCAGGACCCTGTCAGGCTGGTCAGATACACACAGGGTTGCGGGGTGGCATTCAGAGAGCACATTTATTTACAAAGCACTTTACAAACATTATGCCTCCCCCACAGGCCCCTGCGAGGTAGGTCAGTAGTCATATCTACAGTTTACAGATGGGGAAATTGAGGCACGGAATGGGGGTGTGGCCTGCCCCATTTTAAAGAGAACTTCCCACCCACCCATCAAAAAATAACAGAATAAAAACAAAGCAACAACAAAAAAAATGCTGATCCTCCATCCCATAATACCCCTTCTTCCTCCAAACACTAATGGTTGTGCCCAGCCTCTCTCTAACACTGCCTCCTTCCCAGGGACAGCCTGCCCAGGAGCCATAGGGACCTCGACTCCAGGGAATGTGGTTCGGCCTTGCAGACTGTCACTGGCCCAAGCTGAGCAGGACCAAGCCATGGAGGCTTAAAGGCCAGGGGAAGCTCAGAGCCCATGTCAGGAAAGCAGAAGTGGGGAAGGTGGTGAGTCAGGACTGGGCGACTATAGGGGACAGTGGGGTGGAGGAGGTCAATGCAACTCCCCTGAAGAGGATTGTCAATGTGTCCCCAGCCTTCCCAGACCCTCAGAGGCTCAACCAGAAGGGATTCAGGACACCAAGTCCCAATGTACCCCATCCATGTACAGAAGGGCCACCCCCAGTGGAAGCCTTGGCCTGGGATATTTTCTACAGGGCCTCACTCATCTCTCCCAAGGGCTGGGATGGAGCAAAGGGGCTTGGCCTGGGTTCCCCACAGCTGGCTCTTCTGGCCCCTGTCACTGTGTCAGGCCTCTCACCATAGGCCTGCAGGACCTTTTGGGGGTGGGGCTGGGCTACAGCCTTGCTAAGCTCTTCCTTGACCCACAGCCACCATGGGAACCACTAAGGTGACCCAGCGTCCACTCCAACACTTTCCCCATGGGACTATGGCTGAGAAGAGTTGAGAGCACAGGTCCTCTTTGCCAGCAGGGATGGCGGGCCTGGCCCTGAGTGCACAGTGGGATCCCAGGCCAGGGGCCCGCTATCTTGACTCCAACCCTTCCAGGTACTCCAGTGCCACATCGTAGCAAAAGTGGTACTGATCCTAGGAAAAGAGAGAGAAAGTATCATGAGTCTGACCCCTCCCCTGGACTGGGGAGAGAGGACACAGGTAGCCCTGGCCCCGCCCGAGGAAGGGGGATGGGAGCAATGGGAACAATGTTCTAACACCATAGGACAAGAGAAGGCCCCAAGGTGGGAACCATATAGGGCAGAGGAAGTACTGAGAAACCTGGCCAGGCATGACAGGGAAGTGGAAGTGCCTGGGCCCAGGCACATGGCCCCTCACCATAGTCTCCACCATATTGGGCTTGTAGTTCCGAAGCGTTTTGGCAGCAAAGAAAACATCCACCAGGCCATGGCAACGGATCATCTCCAGGACTGTGGCACAGGCACAGAAGGTGCCACTGCGGCCACCCCCGTTTCTAGGAGACATACGAAAGGTTTGGGGTGAGACCTGGGAACCTAAAGATAAAGGGCAGAGCCAGCAACCAAAAGGCATGGGTGGAGTCAGGGAGACCAAATGCAAGGGGTGGGGCTAGGGGTCAAGAAGGGGGCGGGGGGTCAGGACACCAATGACATGGAGTCCAGAGGACAGAAGGACCAAAAGGTTAAAGAGACAGCTCAGAGACTGACATCAGAAGCCTTATGTCATCTCAGAAGACACAGCCTCAAGAAGGAATGGACTGCAAATTCCTAGAGAAAAAGCTAGACACACTCAAAGAGAAAGACACTGGGGCTAGAGCAGTGACAGAGAAAGGCAGTCGAGCAGCAAACACCTGGGAGCAAGGTGGAAAACAAACATTGGGAAGGCCAGTCACAGCCCTGAAACAGACACACAGCTGCAAACACAGGAGAGCCAAGCCTGCCATCCCACCAAAGACCCTCCTATTACCTCCCCATGCCTTCCAGCCTTCCACTCATTTCCTGGGGTACCACATGTCACCTAAAATTGGGAAGTACCCTTCTCCAGGTGCCTCTCACTTGAATGGAAAGCCCTGAGGGCTGGGGCCTAGACTGACTAAGCAACCTAGATTGCCCAGCCTGACACTGGAAGGCTCAGTGAGTGCCAGAAGCATGAAAAGTGGGACTCAAAGGAGTGACTGCTCCCAGACATAAGTGAATACATAGATTCATGAATAGGGCATACATATGAAAGAATGAAGGAATGAATAATGAACAAATGAATTGTGTTGCAGGAGTCCACGCATAAACACAGACTGGAATTCCATCGGCATTGAAGCATGCTACAATCTCATGGGGTGAAAAATTCTGACAAGACTCTAATTAAACCAGCGAAGTCAAACATCACATACAACGTATTTCACAATTGTTCCAGGTTGAATCTCTACCCTGGAAACTGCCTGGGTTCCTCCAATAAAGGCAGGGCCAGCTTCAGCTGGCTAGACAAGGTCCAGGACACAGCTGTCTGGGATCCCAAGGTCTTCGGTGCCAGTCTTGAGGCCCTCTGTCAGCTTGGGCATCTGTCCTGGTTCCTGATCCCTTCCCAGACCCCTGTAGAGCAAGCACTCACAGGCAGTGCACCACGGTGCGCCCATCCCCGCTCTCCGCCTGCCACTTGTCCACCTCGGCCAGCAGGTGCAGGAAGGCCTTCTTGGAGTCAGGCGTGTCCCGGTAAGCAGACCAGCGCAGGAACTGGAAGTGCCGCACCAGCAGGTGGCCCTCCTGCAGCTGAGGGCACGCAAAGTCAGCCAAGGGGACATAAGCATTAAGGTCACAGGGGCCCCTGAAGATCTCAAGAGGATCCCTAGCAGCAGCCCCAGTCACCACCCAGGTTCTCACCCTTGGGCTCCTCAGACCACTCACCCGAGAGACGTTCTGCACCCGGAAAACTCGGGCTACCAAGTCTTCATCCGCTGTGCCTGATACAAACTCCACCTCCATGAGGCCATACTGCTGCCGGCCTGGCTCTGGCCAGTACTGGAGGCAGGGCTGGGGGCATGGCATGGAGAGGAGAGCTGGGGAAAGCCGGGCTGAGGCCCATCCCACCGCCAAGATGCCACATTTTCCCCACCACTCCCAGACCCTGACCCAACCCCTCACTCCAGATTCCTCTGTGGTATCCTCCCATCTCCACCTCCACAGCTGACTGCAGGATACACATGTCCAAGTGCTCTGCACTGACGGGTAGATCAGTCTTCACAGACAGCACAGGAATGCCAGCTGTGTGTGGCTAGAAACCTCTACCTTAACAGCCTCATACCCCCATACACGTGTGCACACACACACCTGCACAAGGCTGCCTTCTTCCAGAAACAGGCCTAAATCACCCCACACCTCAACCAGCCCCTCTGCCTTCTCTCTCACTGCCTCTGACCTCAGCACCAGGTGGGGTGTCCCTAATGCTGGACCGGGACTCGACTCCCTACTCCTGTCCTAGGACCCTCCATGGAGGCAAGGGTGCTACCTACCTGCCCCTGCAAATCAGACTGAGGTCACGAAAGGGGCAGAGGAGGCACACACCCTTCCCAACAAGTACACAACTAGGTACTATGGGCAGATCCCTTGCGAGCCCCAGCTTCTAGTCTCCCCTCTGCCTAGAACCCCAGAAAGGCTCTTCTGTTCTCTGGGCCCCAGTTTCTTCATCTGTAAAACTAGGGTAAGTTAATTTGCCTTCCCGAGTCTCAGTTTCCTTCTCTATAAAACAGGGACCAGCACTAGATCTGTCTCACAGGGTTATCATGAGGACTATGTGAGAGGTGCATAGATGCTTGGCATCCTATGTGCCTGCCACAGATTAGGTGCTCAGAACAAGGCATGTATGGGATGATGAGGATGACAGTCACTTCAGAGGCCCCCAAATGACACCATGCTCCATCTGTTTCCCTCTGACCAGAGGCTGGGGAGGAGAGGACACTACTTTCTTCTTTGTGCCTAGGATGCTGGGAACCCCTGCTGTTCTCTCTCTGGGATCACCCTTCTACTATGACCTGACCCACTAAGCCCCACCCTTCCCACAACTCAGCTCAGATACTGCCTCCTCCAAAAGCCCTCCTTGATACATTCTTTCCCAGGATTCTCTGTCCCTGTGCCAGCTCCAGGAAAGGCCTTTTTCCTCTGTGCTGTCACTACCAGCTTTTATACCTGTTCCTTCTTGAACTTCAAGATCTAGGAAGGACTGGGATTGCTTTTTCTGTTCCCACACTGTGCACTGCAAGGCCTGTCAGGCAGGGTTCTTGGGGAAAGGTGGCTGAATGCATATGCAATTTAGTGAGCAGCGAGTGATGTCTGGATCCCTGCCCCCACCCTAGCAAAGGTGTACTCCTTCCATAGCTGGGACTCACCTCGGATCCCCACACAGAGCCTGGGGCCCATTCTCTGCAGTTCTGGGTTATGTACCAGGGGCCTGGCTCATAAAGAACCCAGCTAATGCTCCTCCAGGTGCTCATAAGACTGATGTTCTCATTCCACAGAAAAACTGCTGGCCTCTGGGGTAGAAAGCAGGGGCACAAGGGAGTCCAGAGACCCAGGGCATGTGATCGGGGAGGTTAGAAGATTAGACATCTGTACTTCCAGAAGCTCCAGCCCTGGGAGCCCAAAAGCAAATGGGTGGGGGGAGGCGGGGAATCAGAGGGACTCTCCCCAGGCTATCATAAAGCCAGTGACTGGCCAACCTCATAAGCAACTGTCATACTTATCAACCTGCCATGTACTGTGCTGTGTTGCCATGTACTGTGCTGCACTGTGCCCCGTCAGAACATCAGGATGATTTGTGATAGTCCCATTTACAGAGAAGGAAACTGAGGTTCAACAGGGCCAATTAACTTACCCTAGGTCAAACAGTCAGACAACAGGAGGCTTGGATTTTACTCTACCTCCAAGACCCCCATGATAAGCAAGTCAGTGGAGCTACTTAAAAAGCAGAAACTCTAAATGAGGCAGCACTGCTCTGCCACTCCACAGCTCTGTGTCCTTGGACGATGCACTACACCTGTGTGGGTCTTAATTTCCTTAATTTTTTTTAACTGAAGTCTCCATCCCAAGGTTACTACAGATTGTAAACAAGAACAAATATGCAAAGCAGAGTCCATGGCTAACTGTAGCTGCTCAATAAACAGCAGCCAGTTTGCTCCATCCATCACCCTTGTTTTACAGATGAGGAAACCAAGGCTCTGGGAGGGAATGTGACTCATCTAAGGGTCCACAACAATAGGTGGCAGAACTGGGCTCCAACCCTTAACTTTAGGGATGGTGCCCTTGAACGCACTGAGGCCCTGGCAAGTGGGGCCTCACCCAGGCAGAGTTGGACTGGTTCAGCTGGTTGAGCATGACGATGGATGTGCACCCGTAGTCATAGACCAGCCGCCAGAAGTCGGGTGTGGTGCTCTGCAGTGGATGCAGGGTCACAATGAAGGCCGCACTCCGTGTGTAGCTCTGCAGGGAAACCAGCACTCAGCATGGCTCTGTGTGTGACACTGCTGAAGTTCCAGCCAGGCTGGAGGGGGAGAGCTGTGCCTGCAGGACCAGGCTACCTGCAGTGCCCACTTCACACAGAGGCCTGGACTGGTAAGCTGGGCCATCAAGGCTCTAGTGCCCAAGCCTGTGACCGCCACAAACTAAACAGTCAAAGATCCCTGAATGTGGAGCTGAACTTGCTCCCTGCCTCTGAGTCTTTATATCTGCTATCTCTGCTGCATAGACCAATTTCCCAAATGTCTGCCTGGCTCTCTCCTCACTTACTTCCACTCTTAGCTTAGCTGTCACCTCTTCAAACAGGCCCTTCCTTACCATCTCAGCAAAAACAGCCATACACATAGGCCCCACCTCCACATTTAACTCTCCTTCTACCTGGTTGCTTTCTGTAGAAATGTCCAGTGTGTATTTATTATTTACTGCCTAAGCCCACCCTCAAATGCAAGGTTCAGGAGAGCAGACATCTCAGGGCATGACCTCTTCCCAGCACATTGTAGGGGTTCAATAAATGTTTCTGAATAAATAAATCTCTAAACCACTTCCAACTCCATGAATGAAGGGTCTGAGACCTACCCTGTCTCCTCAGGTGGGGACAGGCACTGACTCTGATTCCTGCTCCTGATCTCCACCTTCTGAGAGAACTGATACTAGAGCTCTGACCCCAAGTCTCCCTGGGGTCCACCAGGCCCCACCCTGCCTGGACTCCCTCTCCTGTGCTCTTCTCCTACAACCCCATTCCCTGGCCCCTGGCCTTTCTCCTGACCTGGGGGCTGCCACAGCTCCTAGAACACAGGTCCTTGTCTGGCTTTTTCTGGCCTTGGTTCTGATCTGGGTCCTGAGCAGGTTGCCCTGCCCTTTGCAACCCTACATGGGGCAGGCAGAGACACCAGGCCTCCTACTGGTCTCTCAGATGCCCCTCCCAGGACCCTGAAGGCTCCCTGACAAGCAGGCACTAGAGGCCAGGCCCAGCCAGACTCCAGAACACAGGTCTGGGTACCCAAGGGCTCTCTGCAGACAGATTCACCCCAAACATACCCCAGCTGACCCCCCAACCAAGTCCACTACAATCCAAGAGTCATTTCTCTTGGTTCCTGGGTCAACCCCATGCAGCTGGGGTCAGGTGACTAAGGCATCAAGGATGCAGGAGGCGCAGAACTGAACCAGTAGCTTCTCTTCCTAATGGAGCCTGCCCAACTAGAGACTCAGGACCCTTAGAGAACGTCCTTTCCAGCCCCCAGGTTGCAGATGGGCACACTGAGGCTAGAAAGGGGCCTGCAAGGGAGGCTGTGGAATCCTCAGTTCCTACCCTCCAGGACCCCTCAACAGGCTCAACACCCCCAGGAGAGTCAGTGGGCACACTCACACATGTACTCCATCAGGCTGAGGGACAATAGTGAAGGATGCTCCACACTCACCCTGAGCTCACACAGGAAGCCCCTGGGCAACGAGAGAGGCCTCCCCTTCTTGGAGCACACCCCTGTCCAGTACTGTCCTGCCTAGGGGCCATTGGCTAGGAACCAGGCCTTCCTCCTCTCCCATCTCTCATCTCTATGTGGGGGCCATTCAGAGGTGCTGCACCTGGCTGTGTCCCCACCTCATTCACTCCTTGCCTGAGTGAGTTGCTTAGCGAGGCTCCTTTCCTCTCAGAAGCATGCATCGTCACTGCCCCTGTGACGTATGTGCCCAGCTACATACAATGACTGTTCCTAACGGGGAAGGTGGGCCCTGGGGGTTCAGCAGCATCTGGAAGGGCAAATTGCCCAACCAAGGAATGGAAGGCATGGCCAGTCCACTTGGCCACAAATCTAAATCCAAATTCACCCGTGTTCTCTGTCACATCTGGATCTCCATCTGTTTCTTGCATCTCTCAACTGACTCCTATGGGAAGAGGAGTAGGGATGATAATCACTGACTCTTTCCCCTTAGATAGCAGCATCCTGAGTCCTGAAAGCCCAGCACCCATTCCTGCCATGCTTGAAACACAGAGTAAAGGAGCTAGAGGCCCAGGGTGGGAGTAGAGAAATGGCTCCTGAGCCCTCAAACCACAGCCAGGGAGGGCCAGGGAGCAAGTCACCATTCCAGGCCAGGTCCTGGAACAGATGTAGCTCAATCTCCCCAGGCTCCAAACATCAGGTCTCAACCCCAACAGTAAGCCCTCAGGGCCTCCCCAGCCAAAGCCCCTGATCCTGGATACAGCCCTGCCTGAACTCCACAACCCAAACTCCACCCCTCCCCATACCTCAGTGTGAGTACTGGCTTGAATAATGCCCAGAGTGAAAGATCTAAGATCAGTGGGGATAGGAAGGTCTCCCCATCAGCCTGGCACCCCCCAGAATGGGTAGAGGGTTCCCCAACCAAAGTCCTCAGCTCTGCTCCCGACTCCTGGACCTTTCTAGATGCTTCTGGGAAGGGGAGTTCCAGAGCCTACAGCATCCCCGAGCTCTCACATCAGTCAGGGCCGCATTGATGTAGTTGTTGGGGTCCCCATCGGTGGAGATGAGGAAGGGCAGGCAGCGGTCAGGTGGCAGGACGTCCATGCTGCGGTTCTTGTCACGGTTCCTGGGCAGCAGGGCGATGCTGCACTCCTCCACGTCCAGTGGTGGTGTCACTGAGTTCAGTGTCTACAAGGAGCAGTGGGGTAGGTGGGAGGATGGAGACAGGAAGGCACAGCCATGGCTTGCTGGGCCTCCTCACAGTCTCACGAGGACAGTGAGCTGCTTTGTAAACTCCATGTTGTAGATGGAGAAACTGAGATCCAGCAAGAACCTCAGGAGAGAAGACAGGAACCCAGGCCATTCAAGGCCTGGACTGAGCTCTGGAGACTAGAGTCTGCCTCCCCACCACCCATGTAATCTTAGATAAGCTGTGGTTTCTCTCAGCCTCAGTTTTCCTCAACTGTAAAATGGGAAACAAATATGCCTACCTTGTGGGGCTGATGGCAGGATAAAGTGAAATAATGCAGACCCTGAGCACAGCCTGGCACACCCAGGGCTCAATACACAGCAGGCCCAGGGAGGATCACTGCTAGTATCTCAGTGCATTCAAAGAGACAAGCCCTAGAACCCCACCTCGTCTACACAGCTCACTCCAGGCACCAGGCAGAAGTGGTTGCCTGCCTTGGTCAGGCCCTGTCTAGACAGAATGCACATCCTAAGCAGCTGGCCCAGCTTCAAGCAGAGCTCTGGGCATCTCCTTCACCTGCCTCAAGCCTCATGCATCTGGGTCTCGGTATCTTGCTGTTACCTGGACCCCTCATAGAGGACCCAAGACTGTCACAGTCTCCACAGCCTGACACACTTCTCTAGGAATCACTGGCTGAATTTCTCAGAAGACTGTCCAGGGTTGGCTACAGAGCACCACAGCTGACAGATGCCACCTGGCTGAACCCTTGCAGGAACCTGCAGGACACCTGGGGTCTCTGGTGCCCAGTGACCAGCAGATTCCTCTCCCCTCTTAGCCCTGTGACATGGTGAGGCTGGCCCTGCCCCCAGAACTGGATAACCACAGTCTTGGCCCATCATGGGCTCCATCTCTGGCCCCAGTGACTGGCACATGGGAGTCAAGGCTATGGCTTGGTTGGGCTGTTGGAAGCAGAAAGGGCCTTTTCCAGAGTCTCCTGACATGTGTCTGGCAAATCTGAGACATAGACCAAAACCAAAGCAGAACCAAGAATGGACAGAGACCAAGTATTGGCACTGTCATTTAAACCCCAGGATCCAGCCACAACTGAAGCTGCACCACCCTCAGACTTTGCAGTCCTTAGAGCTACTGAGCTGGGTTTTTGTACTTACAACCAGGGGAATCTTGATGAATACCAACTGAAAGGGTTATACAACTCTCTTTCTTTTCTGGATAACAAAACTGAGCCTTAGAGAGGTAAAGTAACTTGTTCAAAGCTACTCACAGTTCCTAACTAGATAAGACAGGATTTGAACCCAGGTTTATCTGACTTCAAAGTCTGGGGTCTTAACTGCTTTGATGCACCACCTCCTCCACTGTCTCAAAGTCTTTCCTTGTAGCCCAATTCTGTCATTCCAGCTGTGTCTCAGGCTGCTCCCTTGGCCTTTAGTGACCATCACAGAACTGAGAGGACCTCCCAGGGTGTGCGCATACACCACACACACACACACACACACACACACACACACACACACACAACCTATACACACATGTTCAATCCCCCCACCTGGAACTCTTCCCGAAGCTGGGAGGAATTACTCTGAGGGTCAATTCGGATCATCTCCCTGTAGGTGGCCTTGAACTCATTGACAGGGATGGTGGTCTCCCCACAGAGGCAGGCCTCCAGGATTGCATCATGGATGAAGATGTACTGCTCCTGGAACAGGAAATAAAGATGTAAGAACCATGAGTAGACTGCAGATCTGTGGGGAAGAGGGGATAAGCAAGCTTAAGGTTGGGCCATGGTACTCTAAGGAAATCCAACCCACTTGAAGCAACCTTCAAAGACATGTTAGCTCATCTCATAGTGCAACCCTGTAACACCCCATAGATGCTCTGGAAGGTAGGGGATAGCCCAAGGCCCCAGATCTAGTGAGGATACAAACCCAGTTATGTCTGGACTACAGAGCTCATTGTCATTGACCTCACCTGACACAACACTGTGAAGACCCTAAGAGGCTGGCAGCTCCTGTTCACAGATGATCCTAGGCAGGGCAGGATCTAAGGACCCCTTCAAAAGCACCCACCAGCTCTGAGATCCTCACAACAGACTCAAGTCCTCAAGGAGAGGAGGGGACAGGGCAGGGTCCTGCACCTCGGTCTGGATCATGTTGACACGCCGGGAGCAGAGGGTTTTCACACAGTTGTAAATGTCCACGACGCCCTCGCACTCTGCCATGTCCAGCATCACATCCAGAACGATGTAGCAGCCTGTGCGGCCAGTGCCCGCGCTGGAGGAGAGAGGCCCCAGGCCACATCAGCGCCTTGGGAGGGAGGCTCAGGACCAGGGAGAAGAGAGAAGAGGGGGACTGGGGTGCTTGCCATAGTATACCACACAGGTGAAAGTGACAAAAAGAGAAGGCCAAGGCAGGAGGAGCCAGGAAGAAGGCAGCTCCCCGAAACATGAGAACAGAGCTGGGGAGGCCGTGGGGAAAGACAGAAGGGGAGAGAGTGCAGAGGTGAAGCTGGCCCAACTTTGAAGCTTGGACTGGGGGAGAGGGACGAGGAGATGTTCAGAATTCGATTGAAGAATTTTTTCCTCCTGGATGTCCTCAAATCTCCTGCACATCTTTCAAAATCCTACACGCTCATACCCACTCACACACTCTGTGGAGCCTCCATCGCTTCCAGGCAGTGTCCTTTTGGGCTCCAGAAGAAATCTGGCAGGCTTTTATTCAAACATTCTTCCTGTTATATGGTCACTGTTTATCACCCTAAGTCCACTGGGAACTCATGGACAGCTGGGCTGTGTTGGATTTATCACTGTGACATGTATACTCAATACCAGGTTGAGCAGAGTTAAAGAGGAAGAGGAGTGGACAAAGATGACAGCAAGATATCAGGTATGAAAATGGTGGCATGAGGCTGGCAGAGTGGCTCAAGTGGTAGGGTGCCTCCTAGCAAGTGCAAGGCCCTGAGTACAAGCCCCAGGACCTCCAAATAAGAAAAGAAAAGAAATTGTTGGCATCAGAGTGTGAGAACATACCGATATCACTGGTGGGGGCTTAAATCACACAACCATGCTAGAACACTATTTGGCAGTATGCAGTAAAGCTGAGTTGTCCACACAGACACAATTCTACTCCTAGGTACATACCCACAGAAATGTGTATATTTCTTGACCAAGAGAATGTCCTAAGCATTGCTATTTAATTTTAGTTAGCACTGTTCTGCCTAACAGCCCAGAGCTGGAATCATCCTAAATGCCTGCCAAGCAGAATGAATAGATACACTGTAGTCTCTTAACCCACTGGAACAGGATACAATGTGGATGAACCTTACAAACATTAGGTTGGGGGAAAGAAGTCAGGCAGCAAAGGGCACAAGCTGTAGGATTCTATTTATACAAAGTTCAAAATCATGCAAGACCACCTCTGGTTTAGAAGTCGGGTTGCTCTGGAAGGAGAAAACATTCTGGAACTGGACTAAGAACGCTGTTGATGTTCTGTTTCCTATGTGAAAACTCATGGCTACATGTACACTTATTATTTGTGATTTAAGTATACACTGCCTTAAGTATATTATATATCAATAAAGCTTTGTTTTTAAAAGATGGGACCTAGATAAATCAAAGAGAAGCTGGCTTGGAGGTGGCAGGACAGGAAGACTGATTCTGGGGACCTGGTAAGAATCCAATCAGAGGAGCCAGGACAAAGCATAGAGACCATCAACTTGTGGGTTCAGGGGACCTGAGGAAACCCACAGGTGAGAGGGTAAGCTCTCCAGAAGAAGCAGGAGGAAGACGTGGAGCGAGAGGAAGCACAGAAGAGAAAGGAAGGACAGCTGGGGTCACGAGGGCCAATCCAAACAAGAGACAGGAGTGGGAGAGGGGGTAAAGAAGGTCTGGGCTGCAGAGGTGACAGCTAAGGGACGAACAAGAACCCCTGAGTGTGAGAAGGAGAAGGTGACATCCTTCTCAGCCCCCTCACTACACCTCACTTGCAGCAGGTGTACAACAAACCCTTGCTGCACAAAAGCAGGCTGGACTTGATCACGCCTGGTGCCTCACTAACCCAAGGCCCCCTCTGAGCTCCAGTACCTCCTCAGCCTCTGGCCAAGGGGCTCCACTGGAACAGAATCAAGATTCAAAGAGCAAAGGGCTTTGAAGGGTCAATTCTCTTCTGTCCCCTGTCTCCAAGAAGGCTGAGCCCAGGCCTAGCCTCTCCTGAAGTCTTTCAACTTGCCTTACTCCAGCCCAGCACCCCCAGCCCCTGTTCTCGTTGGGATTCCCAGCACTCCAACCTGCAGTGGATGACTACAGGCCCGGCATCAGGTGGGGTGGAGGCCTTCACACGCCGGATGAAGGCCAGGAGCCCAGTAGCATGGTAGGGGACGCCGTGTTCTGGCCATGCTGTAAAGTGGAACTGACGGACCTCATGCCGTGCAGAGTAGCCTCTCTGTGGAGACAGTAGTGATAACAGAGTCACTGGCAGCATCTACTGGACGCTTACTGTGTGCCAGGCACTATGGTGAGCAGCTCACTGTTATTTATTGGTGGGGTGTGCTCCTAGTGAGGCAGTAAGTGTGACTATCCATTATACAGGAGAGAAAGCCAAGGCCCAAAGAGGAAAATCCACCTCCTCAAGGTTGAACAGACAGACACTATGCCAGACTTGGACAGAGGTCTGCTTGATGCTTAAACTTACGCTACTGAACACCCAGCCTAAATGGGTTGTGGTTTAAACACAGATCATTTCGACTCTTAGTTTCAAAGGAAGAAATTATCTCTCCTCTGAGGACTTTACAGAGCAATCAAATGGGATTGTGGACAGAACTGGCCAGCCAATCACTGACCGTGGGGCCTCTGATACATGATGGAACCTCATTTTCCTTATCTGTAAAATGGGACTAATTCCACAGCTTTCCAGAGCTGAAACAATGTGTGTAATGAGCTCAGCATAGGGCTCCGCACAGAATGGGAGTCAAAGTGGGGCAGCCAGAATCATCCTCATTGCTGCAAACTCCTCTTGGGATCATCAGCAAAGACCACTCCCCCCAGCAAGTGGTTACAAGCAGCTTCCTTGCTTAGGAAGGGATGCTCCCTAGGTTGGGGAGGAAGTGGGATCTGCAGGGAAATGGGTGTCAGGGAGCCTCACCCGCTCCAAGGTAAAAGTGCGCACGACATATTCAGCCAGTGTCTCCGTCTTCACCAATGTGATCTTGATGTCCCCGTACATGTCTGAGGCTTCTGGCCAGTACCGTGAGCACTTTACCTGCAGCCCCCACAGCAGAGGACTCAGTGGGCTCACTCCCATCTACTATGGCCCATCCTGCCCCCAGCTCAGCCCACAGCCCCGCTTACCCTGCCCACCTCTACCAGCTTGGTGATCATGACGATGCTTGAACAGTGCTCCTGCCACACCACGCGCCAGAAATCGTAGATCATCTCAGGCTTCGGCCCTGGGGGTGCAGAGGGCACCTGTCCCTCAACAAGGTCTCTGCCAAGGCTAGAAAACCCTGCTGCCCAGTGCCACCTCAGGCCAGGAGCTCCCTAGCCCCAGTGGGGGGCTTCCCACTCACCCCACATACACCCCTTAACTGCCGATTCATGCCTGTGGAGTCAGAACAGGGCAGAATCAGGGCCAGAGAACCCAGTATGCTGAGTGGGGACCCAGGAAGTGGAGCTGGAGGGCAGATCCTCAGTCCATGGGACAATTCTCCAAGAGGTATGGAATGATGGACCATCAGGGGAGAGAGACACAGCCAAAGGGGACCCAGGAGGCCACTGGACTAAGAGACACAATTCACCCCCATGAGGACTGGACCCAGCCAACCCTTTTGCATGTACCATGATAGAGACAGACAGGTAGACCAGGGAGCTGTGTGGGGCTGATCACATTGAGAGCCACAAACACAGAGAGGGGACAAACAGATGTCAAGAGATCCAGGCAAGGAGTGAGGATCAGACAGACAGACAGATTGGGAGGCAGACAGGAGCCAAGCAGGTCATCAGGATGGCAGACAGGCAGGTAGCAGGCACTCCAGCACACAGGAGGACGCCTGTGGGCAGAGGGACCAGGTACCTTGAGTGGCTATGAAGTGATTTGACCTGTGGTAGCCCTGAAACAGGAGAAAAGGACATGGTGAGAGCCCCAGGAGCAGCCCCTCATCCCCTCAGACCTCCTCTGCCCTCCCACCCTGAAGCAGCACCCTACCCACCAGGGAACGCCCCACCCTTGTGCCTGGGCCTCCTGACCAGGACAACCTTGTCCTCCCAGTCCCCAAGACAGAGGGAAGTGCAGCTGGACACCAGTTGTCTTGCTGTGTGGCCCTGGGAGGATGCAACTCCCTTGTGGGCCTGGAGGGGTCTCCCCATCCACAAAGCAGGGAGAGTTATCTGCTTAGAACAAGGATGCTGTTGAGAACCAAATAAAGTTCAGGATGACCCTTCCCTGTTCCCAGAGTCCCTGATGTCCTAACCCACCCCACACGTGGGGTAACCAGAGCTCATCAGCTCTCCCAGCCCCTCTCAGGACAACCTGAAGCAAATGGCCCTCAGATAAAAATTTTATCTTTAAAATCAATTATAATAATGAAGATGAACTTTCTTAAGACCCTATTATGGTCACATCCTGTGCTAAGCACTTTACCTGCACTATTTTGAGCAAAAGAGAAACCAAGAGCTACTTTATCCTCCGTCTCCAGAGTCCTCACACCAGTAGAAGAACCCGCCCAAACCCAGAAAAACAGCCACCCTGCAAGGCCTCATCAATCTGGGACAAAAAGTCCCCCCAGATACCCAGAGCACCAATGCAGGCAGCACAGAAAAGGGGAAGAAGTATTGCAGGGCAGGACTTCAAGCTCTGCCCCAACCTCAAGGTCAGGCCCTCAACACAACACCCTGCAATTCCTCTGGCTCCCTGGGCTTCCTAGGCCCAAGCCCTGAAGACTGGCAGGGCTCAGTCCCAGCTCCACCCCTTGCTGGCTGCACGCCTTTAGACAAACACTCCATCACTTCCCTATGCCTCCATTTTCCCATCTATAAAACAGACACATGATAATATTTACCTCCCAGGGCCTTTGTAATAATAAATAAAGTAACATGTTGACTATGTCAAGCACAAAGTCAGTTCATTATTATTATTATTATTATTATTAATTTTTTGAGACAGAATCTCACTATGTAGCCCAGGCTGCCCTTGAACTCATAATCCTCCTGCCTCCACCTCCCAAATGCTGGGATTACAAGCATGTACCATCACTCCCAGCAATTACTACTGTTCTAAAGTTTCAACAGTGTCTCTCAAGATCCATACAGTGTTGATGTCAAAAATTGCTAGGGCAGCAGGTGATTTCCAACAAGGATGAAGAATTTAGGGCTGGTGGAGTGGGTCCAAGTGGTAGAACGCCTGCCTAGCAAGTCCGAGGCTCTAAGTTCAACCCCTCTGTACCAGGGGAAAAAAGAAAAGAATTTAAGTCTTGGAGTACAATGCACCTGGGTCCCTGATGCAGCTCTGCCAATTATGTCTAGGTCTTGGTAAAAGGCAGATCTGGGTTCAGAAGGTCTAGTGCATATGGGATTGTGCATTTTCAACCAAATGGTAGGGAGGGTCCACACTGATGGGCCTCAAGCACAATGAGCAGCCAGCCAGGCTCAAGCCTTAGAGCCTCCGTTTTCCTCTGCAATAGGAGGACAACAGCAAGACATTCTTGCCATTCCCATGGAAAGGACCAAACCATTATTAGTCAAAGTGACTAATAATGAAAAGCCTTCTAGGGTCACTTGGCCCTCACTACTGGAGGCCTCTCCAGGTTTGGTTCAATTCCCTCCCACTGGTGTGCCAAGCCAGTCTATACAGCAAGTCCTCAGCTGAGTTTCTGGAGAACAGGTCAGAGGGGACAGTGGAGGTGGAGGATGGAGAGGGTCAATTACAGGTACTGCCAGAGGCTATCCTCCTACCCTCAGCACTACTTAAGCTGGGAACATGTTACCCCACCTAAAGTTTGCCTAAGCTCTCACTTGAAAGAGGGTTCCTCATCTGACTCAGCCACCTCTGTGCCCCCTGGGACCCAGCACAGTGCCAGAACTCCAGCATCCATCAATAAATAATGAGGAATGGAACTCAATTAAAATTGATCAATTGGACTGGGGATGTAGCTCAGGGCTAGAGTGCTTGCCTAGCAGGCGCAAGGCCCTGGGTTCCATCCCCAGCACCACAACTGATCAGTCTGCCCAATGACCAGCTGATCTAAACTTCACCTCTATTACAACGTCTCGGTGTCTTTCTAATGTCCTGTTCTTTTACTCTTTGAAGTCATCATTTTGGAGAAAGTGTGGTCCAGTGGTTATCCAACCTATTGTCACTCAAGTCTATCTGAAGGAAGTGTTTGAGCAGACGATTCTCAGTGTCTGCATATTCACTTTTTAAATTCAATAATGATGACATTACGCAGAGGACACAAATAGGTTTAAGTGACAGTTCCTAAAGTAAGATGAGTCGATCACCTTGGACACACCCAAGAGAGCAGCATTAGAGCGCTCTGGGCCTCACGCTCCAGGAAGCATTGGTGGCAGGTCCTAGGAGCTTGCTCTTGGGCACACACCTGAACCTTCTGATTGACAGAAGACTGGGCACCTGTACTGCAGACAAGATCCCCAGGGCATCCTGATGCTTCCCAAAGGACAGGAACCACAGTTTACCAGGAGGGTAGACCACCAAGGCTGGTTTGTGGCCTTAAGCAAATCACTAAACTTTTCCAAGGCTCAATTTTCTCATCTGTCAAATGCCAGTCAACATGGTCCCTGTGTTGCAAAGTATGGTAAATACTGAACGACACACGTGCAGCACCTGGCACGCAGCACAACTGTTCGTGAGCATTTGAGGCAGCATTAAGCCAAGACTTCTAAGGGATATTTCTTAAGAGGGAAGCAAATGGGTAGGATTCAAGAGCTAGTGGGTTGCTGAAGAAACTGAAATTACAAAATGGGTAGTGATGAGTATTCATCATGACCCACAGGGGGCGCTACGACTGAGCAGAGCCACTGTACCTCCTGAGCCTAAAGATCCCTTTAAACACGAGAACTTTACAAACCAGCTGTGTCACTACACTCAAAATAAGAGGCACAACTGGGATAACTGGTTCTCTTCCCCCAATGTGACTGGGGCATCTTTCACTTTATAGGTTAGTCTCTCTGTGTTATCTGGAAAGATCTGACAATGAAGGGAATTTTAGCAATGATTAAAAAAAAAACAAACAAACAAAACAAGAAACATACTTTTAAAGGAAAAGGGGATAAAAAAGAACAAGTACCCAAAAAAGCAAAATCTTGCAGTCGTTAAATATTATGAAAATAACATATGTATTAAAATCAAAACAGAGGATTGCTAGATGAGTTAGGGTTTTGTTTAATTCTTAAAAGGTCAAAAAAAGATTGTGTAAGTTTTTTGAATGAATTCCTGAACTGCTTCCCCTAAAACATTCAAATTGGGGCTAAATTGAGGGAAAAATTGGTTGGGGTTGAGTTTTAAGCAAATGGATCAGGAAGGGATTTGAACACTAACTAGGGAAACTAATTGTAAGACTAGCCCACGGCTGGGAAGACCTAGACTCTAAGCAGTAGACAAGGCTATCCAGGGGATTTCCCCTACCACCCACCCAAGGGCCCCACAGAGGTTCACTGGGAATTGGGGGGGAGGCTGGGTGGTAGAGGTGACAGCGGTGGCCAGTGTGGGATCAGCCAGGAAAGCACCCCAATATTGGCTGCCCCTGTCACAATGGAGGACAAGGACCAATTGCTTCCAATAGGGACCCTGCCAAGTCTTCAACCAGGGCAGCCCTTGGCTAGGCTGCTAAAATGAACAGTTGTTGGGAACCCAGGAGAGGAGAAGGAGGACAGAGAAAGAGAAAGAGGGACAGCCAGAGACTGTGAGAGTCTGTGTTACAGCCAGTCAAACACACAGGAGGAGGAGGAGGAGGAAGAGGAGGAGGAGGAGGAGGGAGAGAGATACTTACTTGGCGGTTTATCCGAATCTTAATGATTCCAGTGAGGGAACAGAACAAAGCAAAAGAGACAGATGTTAGGCCAGAGGCAGATGAAAGTGGACGCGGCACAGGAGTGGCCAGAAAGGCCAGAAAGGGCGATGTGAGCTGGGAGGCAAAGCAGAGACAGTGGCCTGGACTGGGCTGGGGAGAGGGAATGAGGTGTCCCTGTGGGGGCCCCAAAAACACTTGACCTTGACCAGACCTTAACCAGGTTCACTGTCACCAGAACTGCCCAAGTCTGCAAGGCCAGGCCTGGCCCTTATCCCAGCCAAGGGACAGGATGGAAGGTCGGGAGAAGGCAAGGGATTCTGGGAAACATGGGTGGCACATCTGGCTCCAGGAAGAAGATGGAAGAGGGAGAGAGATGGTCTCCAAAGGCCCTGACAACCTCAGCCCCAGTACATTGTGTCTTTCTCCTCAGCCTTTGCCCATGCTGTCCCTACCTGGGGTTCCCCCTGTCCTATGTAGCCACTGGGAGGAGCTCCACCCCACAGCCTGCAGCCTACACAGCCAGCCCTGGCTCTGCACTGCCTGTGGGACACTGGGGAAGTCACTCCTTTCCCATCTAATCTTTACAAGGCAACAGTTTTGCTTTTTGTTTTCTGCAGCACTGTGGATGGAACCTGGAGCCTCACTAGGCAAGCACTCTACCACTAAGCTACAACCCCAAGCCCCTCCATCTAATATGAAATGATTTGCCTTGTATGTATGTTTCTCTGCCTCCCAACTAGAATGTGTGTTCAAAGAAAGCAGGGACTAAGCCTATCTCGTTTACATCTATATTCCTGAGCTCAGGTGCGCAAAATGTATTTCATAAATGATGCTCTCCCAAGCTCAGCTTGCAGTCGCAAGTGGGGAATCTGAGCAGTCCCTTGGCCCTACCCCTTCTCCCCCTCATCCACACCTGGGGAGCAGACTTATCACCTCTGCACACCCAAGCCCAGACTTCCTGGCTGCCTGCCCTGTCTCTGAACTCTTCCTCCAATCCAGCTCTGGCCTCTTCCTCCAATCCAGCTGATCCAGCTGCTGCAGTAGATGGCAGGATAGCTTAACCATTAGCAAGAAAGACTCTAGAGACACAGACAGGCTGAGTTTTTTGTTGTTTTTTTTTTAGTTAGGGTCTTGCTATGTAGCTCAGGCTGACTTCAAACTTGCAATACTCCTGCCTCAGTCTTCCAACAGCTGGGATTATAGGCATGTACCAGCATACCCTGCTCTTGAGCCCTCTCTTTACCATTTACTAGTTGTGTGATCTCAGACCAGTAGCTTCACCTCTCTGAGCCCCAGTTTCCTCACCCGTAAAGAGAGGTCATGAAGTCTCATCTCTAAAGTGTGATGTTGGATACAAAGTGCTTAGCACAGTGCTTGGCACATAGTACATGCTCAATAAACATGCATTGCTCTTCTTAAAATATCACTCTGGTCACAGTCAAAACACTTAAACAACTCCCAGGTGCCCCTAGGAAAAAAACCCCAACTCCTTAGCCTGCCAAGTGAGGCCTTCATCATCTAGCCTGCCTACCCCTCACACCTCCAAGCTCTTGACCCTCTCTAAGAAGGGATCCTCCCAGGCCTCTAGGTCTTGCTGTCTGCCCTGGACCTTCCTTCTGCCTCCTTCCTAAAAGCTGCCACCCACTCTGACCACCCCCTCCTCTCAGCTCCCTGGAACCCAACACAGGAGCTCAGAGCACTCAGAACTCAACCATTCAAACCCATTGTTCCCAAAGGGCATCTGTCCTGCCAAAACAGTGAGCCTGAAGCAGACAGGGCCAGCTGAGCAGAAATGACAGGGCAAGGCACTCACGTCTATGTAGTTGGCATTAATGTAGTCGGCATTGGGGTCTCCCAGCATCGGGTGGAGTTTCACTCGGTGCCGATCGTCTGTAAATACACAGCAGATGGACAGAGCTACACCAGGGAGCCCAGAGCTGGAGCAGGCAGCAAAGGCCAGGGTGAGGCCCAGGCAGGACAGCCAGGTAACCCAGAGGCTCAGAGCCAGCTAGTACACTCTGGGCATCATGGGAGGCAGACCAAGACAGGGGTTAGAGTCTGAGTTATGGTGTCAAGGAGACCCAATGGCATCTGCTGCTCGGGCCATTAGCTGTGTGGCCTTGAGTACAGGTCTTCACCTTCCAAGTCTCAATTTCCTTATCTGTAAAATGGGACCATACTATTTCCCACTTCACAGGGCAATGGAGAGGAGTAAGTGAGACAATGGTGGTGATGCTCTGCACTACATGTCATAGCCTCTCAGTGTACAGCAGCCAATGAGGAGACCGTACAGCCATGCTGGCCTTGTTTCGCCTCCTAACTCCCTCCCACCCACTGACCCAGCCCCCAGTCCCTTCCCCAGAACTCACAGGCAGGCATTGACTCCTGCCAACCACCCTTGAGCTTGTCTTTCTTCTTTGTGGCATCCCAGCCTTCAAAGAAGCTCTGCCAAAAGGGAAAGAAGGAGTCAGTGGGAGACAGGGACCCCTCAACACACACAGGACCTCTTCCCCACAAGATGATGTGGATGGGATGGGGCTAGGGCAGTGATAAGGGTCAGGTTCAGGGCTGAACTTGGGGCTGAGATAAAGCCATATATATCCCTCTTTCAGCAAGGACTAGGTTCAAAACCAAGGAATGTGGGAGGAAGGGAAATGAGAAAAGAGGGTCAGAGTTCACAGTTTAGAATAGGAAACAGGGTTAAAATAAGGTTCTAATGCAAATTTGAGCTGGGAAGAAGGTGAAGATGAGGGTCAGATTAAAATCAGGAGAAGGATGGTGTCATTGTCCAGATGGAGGGAAGATGGGATCCCAAGTCAGAGTTCACAAGGAGCTTAGGACGAGAGTCGGGTCAATGTCAGCCTGGGTTTGGGTCAAGGGCAGTGTTGGTGGTCTAGCTCAAATTAGAGACAAGTTAAGGATCATGATCAGGACCAAGATAGAGGTTGAGATGAGATTTAAGGTCACATTTCAAATCAAAATTAGGATGACAGTGAAAACCTAGGTCAGTCTGAGATTAGGATGAGGGTCAGGGTCAAGGTCAAAAACAGGTTAAGTTGGAGACTCTCAGAGTAGGGGTTCAACCAGGGCTGGGCTAAGGGTCACCAGGATCAGGATCCACAGCGAGGAGAGCCAGGGCCAGGCAGAGGTCCTGGCTGGACAGGCCATGTGTGCACCTCGTACTCCTGCTTGAAGCCATAGCCCTCCGCCGTCTTCATCTGGTTGATATGCTGCAGAAGGTCAGCCACACGCACCGCAGGGTGCAGCTGCCCCGTGTGGTACGGGGAGCCCTTCCGGCCACATGGGCGCCTTGGTAAGCCCCCCAGGAGGCTGCTGGCCTCAGTGACCCCACTGCTGCGCTGGTCTCCTGCAGTCAGAGAAAGGAGAAGGGCTTCTGATGCCCACTTGCCCCAGCCTGGAAGTCCCAGACGGCCTGGGTGGGGGCAGGGAGCACAGCCAATGTAGAGGGTGGCTGATCAGTTCCTGGAGCCAAGCAGCCTAGTTAAGCCCACCCTGGGGGACCCCAGGGGATCTCCTTCTCTTCTGTATCTCATTTTAGCAGATCAGATCCAAAGACCCCTAGGAGCCCTTGAGGCCTGGCCACCCTGTGATTCCATGACATCCTCACTCCACCAAGTAAGGCTCCACCAAGTGCCCTGCAGGGGCAGTGCTAGCAGAGCTCCCCCCCACAACACTCTCAACAGCCCCTCTTTCTCCTCCCTTTTCCAGGGAACAATCTGGAACATTGGCAACTCCCAGCAATTACCCCCTTTCAAAGACAAGCCAATTAAAATTAGCCGCCGCAGGCCCCTCCACAGACAAGCACAGGCACCTGAACAGCAGAATTTCTCCTGCACCAGCGTTTCTGTTGTTAGTCTGTGCAGGGGCCCAGCCCAGGTGGCCAGGCAGAGAGCTTTGCAGTGCCCCCTGCACCCCAGGCCCCGACCAATCCACCCCCTCCAAGGTTCTTTGGCTCACCATCCCCACGGACATCCCACACTGGTTCTAGAAATCAGGCCTGAAGTTGAGAAAGTGGCCTCTGTCCCTCCCACTCATTTCCCTCATGTACTCTGTGAGGCCGCAGGGGCTGACTCAAGGTGGCCCTCCGGTTTCTCAAAGCCATTCTCTGGTAGGTCTAAGTTGGCAGGGGTCATGGTGGACTCCAGGGAGGCCCAGGTACCTGCCCCTCCCTTCCTCTGCCTTCCTTCCCTACTCTTTATGCCTGGTTACCTCATATTCATTCTTCCAGTTTCAGCCAAAATGATTCCCCTTTGGGGCAGTGGGGGGCTTCCCCAGTGCCCAGTCTGTAATTCTACTCAGTGCCTAATTGGAATGGTGAACATGGGACCCCTGAGGTAGACCCCCTTAATGAGCTCAACTTCAAACCCCAGCCAAATCAGGAAGATTGGCCCTTCTGCTTGGGTCCCACTTCTGGTTTGAAAATGGCCTCCAGTCAAGGCCATGGCAGTACTCATTTGTCTCTCCTCTCAGGAGTCACAGTTCTGAGCTGCCTCAGAACTGGATTTCTGGTTGCATATAGCTGGGGGCGGGGCGGGGAGACCAGCTCAAATACCAGTTATAGCATCGTGTCCAGATGCCCCACACTCTTAAGGGAAACTGAGGTACAAAGAGAAGAGACTGGCCTCACGTCAGAATGTGTTCCAGAAAAGACTAGACAGCAAGATGATTACGAAGACAAGGAAGAGAGCAAGAGGGGTTGTGTGTTTTAAAAGGAGTCTGTGAAAGTTGCATAAACAAAAATAAACAGGTTTCTTCCCTATAAGACCTCTTGAGGCTTCCAACTGTTTGGTGCATCTTACATCTCCAAGAAGTGACAATCACAAACATCTCTCACCACGAAGAGCTCTCTTTTTGTTTATTTCCTGAAACATCCTCAAGGGAACACAATATAATGGAGAAAGTGAGAGAAGGCTCCGGAGAGACAGATCTCAGTTAAATGCCAGCTCTGCATGTGGCCTTGGGAGCATAACTTACTCTCCTACACTTCCATTTTCACATATCAAATGAAGATAAAACCCACTACTACCCAATATGTGATGTAAATGTTAAATAAGATAATTCATGAAAGGCACCCAGTCCCAGGCCTGGCACACAGTGAACTTGTGCACATGGCAGCAGATGACATTGTTAGTCATTTCTAAGGACAGGAGGAAGTCCCTGGGTTCAGGGCAGCTGGCTGACTAGAGTCTTGGTCCTTCTCCAACATGAGCTCTTGGTCCAGGACCTGGGCATCAGCCTAAAATGTCATCTCTAAGGAGCATCCATGACAAACACATAAGTGCAAAGATTTCAGGATTTCTGCTGGCTTGAGAACTCAAGGAATTGAGGAGACAGAGGAGTCCTGGCACTCATTGTGGACCTGAGCTGGCAGCTCTAGAAAGTTCTCCAGGTGGAGAAAGAGCAAAAGGAGGGTTGCATGGAGTCAAGCAGTTCCAGAGATCCTGAAGGGCTGGCATTCCCACAGGCAGGCATATAATCAGCTCGAAATAGTGGAAGATCAGCAAAAGCCCCCACCTGGTAGAGATCCTGATAGGAAGCCATAGCCAAATCCAGGCAGCTTACAGCTGAGCCCAAGAACATAGGATGTTCTGTAAGTGACACCACTGGTAAAGGATGGAATCACCATACACCAATGTTCCCAAAAGGATCCTCCATCTCCTGGGCCCAGAAGAGATAGCTCCCTAACCAGCCACCAGCATAGGCATATATTCATATTCCCTCTCTCTCTCTCTCTCTCTCTCTCAGCTTTTTGGCTACCATGATGTGAAATGCTTTCTCCTCCACACCCTCCCCAACCATGATGGACAAAAACTTTTGGAACTGTGAACTAAAACAAACCCTTCCTTCCTTAAGTTGTTTTCTTAAGTATTTTGTCACAGCAAGAAAAAGCCTGACTAACACAACATGGTTTTCTCTTCTAAATTACAAAAATCTGGCTTCTACTATTTGGAAAAGAAAAAGAAGGAAGAGGAGGCTGAACCAGGGGTAGAGAGGAAAGGAGGAGAGGGACAGTACTGAGACTGAGTCCAGTCCCCTAGACACTCGCATTCCCCAGCCATCACCCTTTGACCTAGTCTCTGCATCTTCCCCTTAGTGTCTGCCCCATCGTCAATCAACCCCTACCAGAACTCCTGACAGTACCAAGTGTCCCCCCATTCACATGATGGTGACTTGACTCCCCTGAGTCACCTTGACTCCTAGTCAATGAACTCCCTGGGGCAGAGGAATTCGTGATTCTTGCCTCTGTTCCGCCATGGCACCCAGCAGCATGCCCTCCCCCACCCCACCCCCACACACACCACCAAACCCTCTCCTGGGGGTTCAGCCCAGCAGGACCTGTGCCTGGCCTCCTCCCATGCCCACCTCCCTGCTTTTGCACACACTGTTCCTCTTCCTTTTCAAATCCTACCCATTCCCCAAGGCCCAGCACAACACAGGAGAAACAAGAGTTTGCAATTCAGAAAGTCTCCCATTTAAATCCTGGCTCTGACATTTTCTGGCTGTTTGATTTGAGCATGTGACTTCCCCTCTCTTGGCCCGTTTCCTCCTCTGTAAGAAGGATTGATAATGGCTACCAAGCAGGGCAAAATGGTGCAAAATTTAATGAGATTACAAAGACAGCATGCTTAATAAGGACAAGTCAATGAATTTGAAACCTTAAATGAAATAGAGAAATTCCCTTAACAAAAAACATACCAAATCTGACTTTAAAGAAATAGAAAACCTAAACAGTCATTTATTCCTTTAAATAAGTTAAACTAGAAGTCTGAAATCTTTCCATAAAGAAAGCAACACAAAGACTGCTTTATAGGTGAATTCCAACAAATTTTCAAGGAGTAATTATTCTAATCTTCCATGATAATGGAAAAAGAAAGAGTTCCCAGTACATTTTTTGGCGGGGAGGGCCACTGGAGTTTGAACTCAGGGTTTCACATTTGCTAGGCATGCACTCTACCACTTGAGTCACTCTGCCAGCCCAATTTTGTATTGGTATTTTGAGATAGGGACTAGAGAACTATTTGACCAGGCTGACTTTGAACTGAGATCCTCCTGCTCTCTGTCTCCTGAGTAGCTAGGATTACAGGTGTGAGCCACCTGCACCTGCAACTCCAGCACATTTTAAAAGATGAATAGAATCTTGACACCAGAACCCAAGACAGAGAAAGTACAAAATAGGAAAACTACAGGCCATGCCCACCCAGGAAGTCAACTTTAAAATCTAGACCAGTAACTATACAATCTAACAATACATAGAAAAAAAAAAATCAAGGCTAAAATGAATTCACCAGAGGAATTTAAGATAATTTTAACATCAGAAAATCTGAAAATGTCACTTACTTTATTAACAAGTGAAAAGAAAACATATGACCATCACAGTAAGTGCAATAAAAAGCTTTTGATAAGTTTAACGCCCATGTAAAGGAAAACCTCTTAGCAAACCAAAAAATGAGGGGAATGTTGTAACCTGATAAAACATTTCTACCAAAAACCCACAGCAATCTTCATTCTCAGTGTTTAAATGTTAAAAGCATTCCTTTTAAAGTCCAGAAAACAAGTCAAAGAATCCTGATATAGCTCCTTCTACAATACTGTAGTCAGTGCTGTTAGGAAATGATGGAAAGACGCTCTGGCCATGATAGTTTTTGCCTATAATTTCAGTTATGCGGGAATCAGAGCTAGGAGCATCCAAGGCTGGCCCTGGGCAAAAACACCACACCCTTTCCAAAATATAACTAAAGTAAAAAGGATTTGGGGTGCAACTGAAGTGGTATGAGGCTTTAGGAGGCTGAGATCAGGAGGACTGCAGTTCAAGCCAGCCCAGACAAATAGTTCTAGAGACCCCCATCTCCAAAATAACCAGAGCAAAATGGATTGGAGGTGTGGCTCAAGCAGGAGAGCACCTGCTTTGCAAGTGTGAAATGCTGAGTTCAAACCCCAGTCCCACAAAAAAAAAAAAGAAGAAGTGGCATTAGGCCGTAAGTTCGAACAGTACAGACAAAAGTAAATAAATAAATAAGAACAACATACATACAAAAATCAATGGCATTTTTCTATATCAGAAACACAATATTTGAGGTATGTCATTTGCAATAGAAGTCAAAAACAGGCATCTGTGGCTGGGGTGTAGCCCAGTGTTAGAGAATATGCCAGGCCTCGGGTCCGATCTCAGCACCAAGAAATAAGTAAGTAAACAAAAGACCTGAGGGTAAAACTAACAAAAGATGTACAAGAGCTAATGGGAAAAATGACTGGAAGACATGACCCAAATAAATGAGGCAAGGCATACAATGTTCACGGATGGAAAGACAGTTTTATAAGATGTCAGTTCTCCCCAGGTTGATCTCTAGATTCAAAACAAATCCATCCATTGAGGTTTTTCAAGCAACTTGAAAAGATGGCTCTAAAACTTCTCAGAGGATGAGGACTCAAGTGTTAAAGCATCTACCTAGCAAGCATGAAGTCCTGAGTTCAAACTCCAATTCTGCCAAAAAAAAGTGAAGATCAAAACTGTAGGTTAATGTTTCAGATATGGAAACCTGGACAGCTATGATAACTAGGTTGTGTAGCTTGGGCAGAGGAGTCACCAAAACAGACAGAAGAAAGAGAATAAAGAGCCAGACCCCAATCCACACATCCGGGAAAATGATGCCTTTGATGAGGGTGGCGCTATAGGAAAGTCTAAGCTATAAGAAATGATGCTGAGACAGCTGACTATCCCTGTGGAAAAAGAAAATCCTCCCAGTCCCTCGCACAAAAATCATTTCCAGATGAATAAAGATCTAAATGTGAAATGCAAAATACTGAAAAGTTTAAGGAAAAAAACTACTTTATGGCCTTGGGTAGCGAAGAAATTCTTTAAGAAAACACAAGTAGAAATCACAAAGGGAAAGACTGATGAATTTGACTACATTAAAATAAAAGCTTTCTGTTCATCCAAAGACACCATAAATAACCCAAAAAGCTGCACAACAAATTTAGGGAAGATATTTGCAATTCATATGTGACAAATGATTATTATCCTAAATATATAAAGAACTCCTAAAAACCACTAAGACAGCAACAAAATACCCTATAGAAAATTAGGTGAAAGACATGAACAGGCATTTCACGGAAGAAGGGACCTGAATGGCCAATAATGACTTGAAAGTATGTTCAACCTCATTAGTAATCAGAGAAATGCAAATTAAGACTATAGAGAAGTGCCATGTTATACACACTCATTTGGCAAAGGGAAGATGGCTGGCAACTTTGGATCCTGATGTAGTTTAACAGAAAGTCTCGCGCGTTGCGGCTGGGAATGAAAGCAGGCAAAGCCACTTAAGAAAACAGCTTAGCACCATCTCACTAAGTTGAACAAGTGCATACTCTATAATCTAACAACTCTACTTCTAGAACCCCCTATGCAGGGGCATCCAAGGAGTCAGATGAGGATGCTCACAGCAGCCTCGTTTGTGGTAACAAGAAAACTAGAAGTCAATCAAATGGTCATGGGTGGCAAAATATAAACAACTAAGTTGTTGTACAGTCATACAATGGAAAACTATACAGCAAAGAAAAATTAATGAACTATAGCAAAACATCCACAGGGACAAGGGTTAGACACGTGGTTTAAAGAGTATGGCTTTGTTTTCATAAAGCCTGAAAATGAGTAAACTGTACAGTGTATTCTTTGGGCATCTATGCATTCTTGGTAACACTGCACCCAAACAAATGCAAATTTCAGGGGACTATTTGTGCCTGAGAGGGAGATAGGGGTGTAGGTGTGGAGGATGAGCACGCCGCTGATGGTCTAGCTCACCGGGAGGTTCACTGGTGTTTGTTGTACTATTAGGAGTGTTTGTCACACTTCTACGACTTTCTGACTTTGATAGCATTTCATATAGTCTTTTGTACAAATCAACACTACATAGAATAAAAAGATGCAGAATGAAGCACTCCCAGTGTGTAACAACTGACTCACTCCACTCTAGGGATGCAGACAGTGCTATGTGACTTACCCATTATCCCATTTAGGCTTACGTCAGCCCTGACGGGAACTTTGTTAACCAGCAGAGATGATTGTTACCCCCCATTTTATACATGAGGAAACAGACATCCAAAGATGTTAAGCAACTTGCCCCAGGTTACACAGCTAAGAAGGGGATCTGAGAGGCCAGGTGAATCCAGGCCAGTTCCTCTCAGCCACTGCATCTCCGCTTTACACCCAGCAAGCACTCTATAAATGATGAGCTGCTCTGATCCTTGGATTCCACAGCAGCACCTGCTCCTGTGTGACAACTGTCACTGGATCTTGAGGTACTGTGATGCTGGCTGAGTTCCTCACAGTTCCCCCAGCCACACCGCATACACACCCAGTGTCTTTCCCAGATTCCCTGGTCAGTGCCGGTATGCAGCAGGCTCACAATAGATGCTTTGCTGGGTGTTTCAGAACTCAGCTGTGGGTGGGCTCAGGTGGGGAGCCCAGAGTGGGAAGGTGGCACTCACCCCTGGGGCTATAGCCTGGGGTGTCCATGAAGGACAGGCCCAGCCGCTCGTCCTCCTGCAGGGTGCTCTGGTCCGTGAAGCTGCGGTCAACGGCACTCATCATGTGGGTCTTCTCTTGGCGGTAGTTGACGGTGGCCTTGGTCATGTTCACTGGCTTCCTGCAGAGGAGGAGATGGGTGACAATGGCCCTGTGCAGGGCTGGATGGTCCCAAGGTGGGAGCCTTAGCCCAGGAGCTGGCAGGCGTCCCAGAGCATCTCTGGAGGGAGACGGACTCAGCCTCCACTCTCAGCTCACAGCCCCAGACAGCAGCTGCCACCACCCCACGTGGCTGCAGTAGCAGTCCTAGGCTGGGACCTTGTTCCTAATCCCTACTGGCCCCAAGGTCTCTGGAAATTGGGATAAAGTCCACTTTGGGCCACCAACCCCAAATCAGGAAGAAGGTTGCCCCCATTCAGCCCCAGTTTGCGGTCCCTACAAAGCCCTGTCCTGGGGGCTCCCTTAGTCCTGTAGCCATGGACTCAGCCTCTCATGGGCTATGGGGCTCCCAGGTAAGCTTGGGCTTCTCTGGACACAGCAAGTTCCAGCCTGGGCTCTTTGTACCCCCAGGACCCCAGACTGGCAGAGACCCACATGGGGTCCTTACCCCCACAGCCCACAGTCCATCTGCTGAGCGCCACAGAGGAGGAAGTGAGTGTAGCCCTCCTTTGTGGCTTCATGGGTGGGGACAGCAGCTGTGACTCTCCAGGAAGCCAGAGGAGGTGGGAGGGAAGAACAGGGAGAGAGGCAGGGCACCCAGCTCCATGATGGAGTGTGTAGGAAAGCAGCACAGAAATGACTCGGAACCCCTATCCGTGAGCACAGCCTGAGGGACCCAGCCATAAGGAAGGCTGGAAAGGAGAGAGCTGCTCACAGGCTCTGCCCTACACCAGGCAGGATGTGGGGTAGACCTGAGAAAGGACTTGCAGGTCATGAGAGCTCAGGACACTGACCATCCACAGAGACCAGGACTTCCAGGCAGGCAGACTGCAGTCTACCTGCCCTGCACTCAGGAGCTGCCTGGGCAGTGACAAATGGGCACCAGGCTCTGGGCACCACCCCTCCCTGTGGCCCCACTTGGAGTCAAAGACCCCTCTGGAGACAATGAGACGAAGTCTCTGTGGCTGGACCTTGATCACTTTGGGGGAGAAAGAGAACTAGAAGAACACAGAGGAGGAAAAGGAGGAGGAGGAGGAGGAAGAGAGAGAAAAAGAGAGAGAGAGAATAGTAGGGAGGAAAGGTCAGGTCAGACATAAACAAAGCATAAGAAGATGAACAGAGGGCCAGGCCAGGGCCAGGCTGGCTGAACTACGGAGCCCAAGGTAACCCACCAATGAGTGGATACTGGCCTAGAAGGCAGTCTCCAGTACTGTACCACAGGGCTCTCTCTCTGTTCCAAGCCCAGGGCTCTCAGCCCAACTGGAGAAGAACTACAAAAACAAACCACCAGATTCAGAGGATAGAATGCTCAGGAGGGCCACCTCACCTCTGCTGGCCTCCAGCTAACTCAGCATGGGATTAGGCAAATGGGATTTAAAAGAGACATACTCAATAGCTCTGTCTTTAGGTCCAACAATGACCTGCACAAGCCAGACATAGTGATACATCCCTATAATCCCAGCTACTCAGGAATCAGAGGCAGGAGGATCACGAGTTGAAGGCCAGCCTGGGCAAAGTTAAGGACACCCTATCTCAAAAACAAAATACATAACAAAAGGGCTGAGGGTGTAACCCAAATGGTATAGCACTTGCCTGGCATGCTCGAAGCCCTGGGTTTAATCTTGAATACAATTATAAAAAACATTTTTTTTAAAAGATCTACACTGGTCCCAGGGAGGGAAAGCAACCTCATCAGTGACTCCCATGACAGTCAAGCTGGAGGCTCAGCGTGAGGGTGGACGCCTAGGTGCTGGAAGCTGATGGTGGAGACAGCCGTGTGAGCAGCGGGTCTGGGAGGAGTAGGCCCATGTGTGAGAGCCCACTTCAAAGTGGAGAGGACAACCAGCCCGGGGAGTTGACGTGACCTGTCCCAGTGAAGCAGCAAGGCAAGTGACTGACCACAAAACCAGCACTTGAGACGAGGGCTCAAGGAGAAAGCTACTGAGGGAGACAGAACAGAGAAGAGATGCCCAGAGGCAGAGGTGACCACAGAGAGGGGCTGACACAGAGCCAGGCCAGGTGTGACCCAGGCCAAGCTAGACAGGGCAGGTTGGAGGCCTGGCCCTGGAGGGCCTCAGCCAGGCAAGCTACTCACGGGTAGTAGGAGTAGGCGTAGCGGTCCCTCCTGGCAGCATGCAAAGAGAACAGAGGGCTGCATGGGGGCCTCCAGCAGGCCTGGGCTGAGGGTGATCCCAGCCAGCAGGGAGCCCAGCACTTCCCATGCTTGGGAGGGGACTGGATTAGTCAAAGGGACTTCCTCATCTCACAGGGTTGGTTGGGCTCACATATGGGATCAGGACTAGAAGCTCTTCCAGAACCTTCCTCAAGCCCACTGGAGCAAAGGGCCCAGGGGATCCACATCTGTCACATCACACATATATGCACATGGAGAGCGAAGTAACATGTATGTACACTCACACATAAACAGATTCACCCACGTGCACACTCATAGAAATACATGCTGGCACACACATGTGCACATACTGAAACACTCCAACACAGAGACTACACACACACACACACACACACACACACACACAAACAAACTGAAAGGTGCCTTCACTTGCCCGGGGCTGCCCTGTAGCTGCAAACCGCCCCCTCACTCCCAGGCCCCAATCCCCTGAGCCAACCCTTTGTGTACACCTAGGCCTAGGAAGGAGAGTGGCTGGGGACAGGGAGGGGCAGAGCACAGAGGATCTAACAGGATGTCCCAGCAAACCTAGGGCCTGCCCTTACCCCTTAATGCCCTTTATTGTGGGGTTCACTTTGGAGACAGCTGTCCCAGTACAGGGCACCTGAGGCACAGCTTGGGCCCAAAGCCCTACATTGGGCTGGGGATATAGCTCAGTGGTAGAGCACTTGCCTAGCCTGTACAAAGCCTAGGGTTCAATCCCCAGTACCACAAATTTTAAAAAGCCCCACATAACTGCAGCATATTCTCGGCAAGAAGCCAGAGCAAAGCTGATTCCCATTTCACAGATGGGAACACTAAGTCACATAGCATCATGGCAGAGTCAGAACAGGCCCCAGGCCTCAGGATACCTGGCTTAGGACCCTGTCCTTAGAACTCCTCTGTGCTCCCTCTTGAGGCCCCATCTGGGGTGGGGTAACTGACCTCCTACTTGCTCAATTACATTTGCACCCCAAGCTGATCTGAACACCTTGTCCCTTCCAGAGTTTCTCTATTCCACAAAACCCCACAATGCAAATGGGGAGCCCTGAGGAGCTCAGTGGCCCCTGCAGGCCAGGACAGGATCAGGGGCACAGTAAAGTGCTAGAGGGAACTGAGCAGATTTTAGAGTAAATAGAGAGGAGCATGGCAGGAGAAGGGGTTAACTAGAGACTTCTGGGGTGGCCTGGATGGGTGGTTGAGGGGAGCAACTGCATGATGAGGGTCTCCTAGTGACACCCTCACAGCATCTCTGACCCAGCCTCTCCTGGTAAGATGCTCTCTTTGTGGAGTGTGGGGGTGATGCCCCCAATCTTCTCTCCCTGAGGGGAGATTTATGGGCCTCAAATACTCCTAATACCCACATTTACAGCCTCTTCCACCCACCACCCCACTTAGGGTCCCCTCCTGGTAGGAAGACACATATAGATCTTGCCACTTGAGGGGCACCTACAATGAGGCCTTCCATGTTCATAGTCAGACCTGAATTTAAGCCAAACCCTACCATGGAGCCGAGTGATGGGGGCAGCTTGCTTTAATTATGGTTTCTTCTTGGTAAAAAGGGAGTCAGACCTGCTTCATTTGTTGGAACCCAAGAAAGAAAGATTATTTGTTGGCTCCTGAGTGCCAGAACCGTGTCTGGCACACAGTGACTCTCAGTAACTTACAGACTAATGGCTGGCATACATTGGGCTACTAGCACACAGTAATTACTCATTAAGTGACAATTTAAAATACTATTTCACGAGGCTGCACAGGGAATTGGGAAAAGAAAACTGAGAGCCTGAGGCCCTGGAGAGGCCACCACCACCCCATCATCTCCCTTTCCCCCCCCCACCCCATCCCCTGCCACATAGCTTACCCCAGAGTCTCCTGCTGGTGTCTGGCCTCAGGCAAGGTGGCCCTAGCCAGCTCCCCATCATTTCCCTGGATCCTGCTTGTCTGCCCTTGGCAGCCCAGAGATCCAGCACCGACTCACTCATGTGTGCCCAGCCTGCAGCAGCACGGGCACAGCGCCAGAGCCCAGGTAGGGAAGAACAAGGCTGGCTCTGCCTTGGGCAGGTCTGTGGCTCCCTAGGGCTTAGCATCCCTATGCCTCAGTTAAAGTGCTGGGGCTACAGTGTCCTAGGTGCCTGGTAGGAAATGAGGTACTTGTGGGGTAGCAGGCAGAGGGTCTCAGGAGCCTCTGCCTTGCTTCCAACTCTGCTCCATGCACCAGACACTGCCCCATCCTACCCCACCCCCTGGGGAGGTTTGGGGGATTTTTTTTTCTGGGTTTGTTTTTGGATGTTTTGTTTTTGTTTTTGTTTTTGGTGTTTTGAAAACAGGTTCTGTTGCTTTAAAGAGTCAAAAGCACTAGACTAGATGCCCTTAAACTACCCAGCAGCTCTCCCATTCCAGGGTGCTAAGCCTCTACAATTCTAAATTCTGAGATTCCTAGAAGTTCTACACCTCTAAGTTCTACGTTCTGGGTTCTAAGATGTGCTGGGGTTTGATGGTGGTTGTAATCAGAAGGACACATGAGGGGTCCAGGGCAAGCTGAGAACAAGGGAGGAAGGGGTCCTTGGTTTGAAGGGGAATGAGTAACATAGCTCTGAACAGGGTCCACCACACAGTCACATGGTCAGTGCCGATTGGGTGAGGACTCAAAGTCAGGTCACCTCCATGCCTTCCTACTGAGACAGCCCCTGCAGGCATAGGAGGGAAGTACGCACTTCCAGTACAACTCCTTGGTATCAGGCAGAGTGCGCTATTGTGGGTAGTGGCACCTGGCACCAGCCAGACCTGCATTCCAGCCATGCCGATCCACAGCATTTCCATTTGTTGAATCTCTGGCTTCCCACTGCCCAGCTGGAGTCCATCCACAAGCCTGATGCCCAGGCTAGCAGCCCTCTACACACCCACCAGGTGGTTGAACAACCAATCCTCGGCCATGGCTCCTCTGTGCCCAAGGCTTTTGAGGGGCAGGAGTCACTGATGGCCAAGATAGTGGCCTCACTCACCCCTTGCGGATGATGACAATGACAGCCCCCAGAAGGAGGATGAGGACGGCAAGGCCCCCTGCACAGATGCCCAGGATGAGCCCCATCTCCTCTGATCTCTGGGACACCTCCAGGGGCCGCTTGCTCTCCTTGCAGGCAGCTGGGGAGAGCAACATAGGACAGGGTCAGAGGGGAAACAGGAACCATGCAACCCTGCCTGCAGGAATCTAAGCCCCAAGGAGCACTATACAAAGGCCCAACCCAGCCTCCCAGCACCAGCACCATCCTGCCCTTTAATCAGATCTGTCTCCTCCCTGTCATGCTTCCTATATTCCCAGCAATTTCCACCTAGCCTGCTCCCTGGTCAGGATCCTCCCTGCCTCTCCACTGTCTCTGATGCCCCAACTTTCAGTAGGTGGGGTACAGAGCACACCTGCAACTCCCAGATATAACCTCTTGCCCTTCCCTGATGGTGGGGGGTGGGTGTAAGTATGTACCTAGGGCGTGGATAGGGCATCACAGGACATAACCAAGCATTCCGTGACTAGAGGGACAATCCCTACACCGTGCTGCCCCGCCTGCCTCTCCCATCACAGAAAAAGGGACAGATACAGAACCCAGAACCAGTGCCCAGTAAACACCACCCTTAAGGTCCAAGCACAATGGCTCCCCCTCCACAGGCCTGTCCTTCCGCAACCATGAGAGGGATGAAGGAGGGCCCTGCTTGCTGTCCAGGCTGGGAGGAGGCCTTGAGGTGGGGCACAAGGGAGCTAAGAAGGAAAGCCTTTCCTGACCTGAACCTGCTACCTGGTCTCCTACGCTCCCACTGCCCTGGATCCTCAGGATCTACCTCTCCAGAGCTGTGCAGGTGAGAAACCAGTCAGCCAAGGACTGAAGGAACCCAGCATACTCACCTTTCCTGGCGATTCGGATGCAATTCAGCCGGGTTTCCTGGAAGCACAAAGAGGAGTCTTAGAGACACTGAGGACAGGAACCTCCCCAGGACAGTAAGCTCAATCAGGATTTCTTGGGCCTGGCCAGGGCTTTATCTGGTGCAAACTCCAAGATACTCCACCTGATGGGACAGCTAGGGGCTGGGGGCAAGAGGGAGGGGATTGCAAATAGGGCAGTGTCTTAAGAAAAAGAGCTGAGGTCAGAAATAGGATGCCAGGAGGGGTGGGGCAGGGCTTCAGAAGTGAGGGTCAGGCCTAGGCTTAGAGGTCTGGTGAAAAAGAAGAGGCCAAGGAAGGAGCAATCCCAAGAGGGAGGAGCCTGGAGAATTGGGCAAGGCCTGAGGATGAGGCAAGGCCTGGAGAATTGGGCAAGGCCTGAGGATGAGGCAAGGCCTAGAACTCGATGTGAAAGCCGGACAGTGAGATGGGCTCCTTGAGAAGAGATGCCTGAGGTGCAAGGCAGGGTCTCTGGCAAGGCAAGGACGAGGCTGGGCCCTGGACAGAAAGAATTGTGATGTGAGGAAGAAAATTCAGAAAGGGAGGTGGTGCTATGTGGGAAGAACCTTGGGACCTGGAGCATGGGGCTCAAGAGAAGAAGGGGGGTCTATGGGAAGACAGGGCCTGGGTCTCAGGCCTCTGTGATGGGCTGCTCCCCAGACTGCCATCCACCACCCCAACCTCCCTCACCATGATCCAGCTGGCCCCTCACCCCTTTCAGGTGGCTTGCTGCCTGGAAGTAGATGAGGTAGGCCTTCCTGGGCTCAAGCGGTGGGTTCCAGAAGCCGCGATAGGTCTGGTTGTCACCCACAGTAAAGGGCATGGCCTCGGGCAGACTGCTGGCTGCCAGTTCAGCCCCAAAGTAGTACACCAGGCCACGAGCCAGCGCTGCCTCGAAGGTCAGAGGCACTGGGAAGCAGTCCTGGCCACCTGGCTCCCGCCTCAGTCGCCGCGGCCGCTCCTCCTCCACAATCACCTGGTATACGCTGGGAGGGGACAACACAAATGACCACAGCAGGCCAGAGGACCCAGAGAGCCATCTGGTGGCTAAGGGCATAGGCTTTAGGGTCAGGCCCACCTGTAGACTATCTTAACTCTGCCTCTCTTTAGCTGGGCAAGTCATTTAACCTCCCTGGGCCTCAGTCTCCTCCTCTGTAAAATGGGAGTGATCCAGGATATAGATACAAAAAACAGACATATGTGTTCAGGTATTATTCCTGTCCCTAACCAAGGCTTAGGGAATCATGGCGCTGCACACAGAACCAAGCCCTAAAGCCCACCCTGCCTTCTCAATGAGTCCTCCTGTGTCTGACATAGGACCTAGGATACCAAAGCTCCCTTCTGCGCCCTGGTAAATTATAAAAATGATCAGACCAGACTCATTTACTTGTTCAGAAAGCATTTACTAGCCCAGACCAGGGCCCTATGAAGACACAGGAGTAATCAGGGCCTCCTGGAACTGACCTCTAGTGAAAGAGATGTCGCTAAGCAGACAAGGTCACACCTGAGGCTACATCTCTAGTGCCTCTCTACGCTGAAGCAGCCTCTCATCTGTAAATCCAAGCCCATTGTCCCAGGTTCTACCCACCAGCTCTGACATGTCCCTGCTCTTGACAGCTGCAGTTCTGTTTGTTTTGCCACTTTACTGACTGGGCTTTGCTGTGAGCTCCTCCAAATCTGCTGTGGAGCAAAGCCGAAAGTAAATATGCGAACACTGACACATTTCAGTATTTCCTGTGACAGCGCCAGCATGTCTCTGAATGTGACATCCTCTGCACTGGGGACCAGGGAGGTCTTTTCTCTTCCCAGCTGCTTCCATCTTCCAATTTGTGGGGAAGCCAACCACATAAGGCTCATTTCCACATTTCTACCCCATTGTAAACATCAGCCCAGGTCCCAATCTGCCTCCATTTCCCCAGCCTGGGATCAAGCGTCTCCCTGCGAAGTCCCCCAGGAGTGACGATAAGTAAACTTAGCTGTGAGTCTGAATGATTCCCATTGTGAAATAAGGAAACAGAGGCTCAGGGAGGTGAGGGTCACACAGTCATCCTGCCTCACCCCTCCCACCATGTCCCACCTTCCTGCCCCAACCCAGCCTTGACATCATCATCCTGAGGGACCCTGGCCAGTCCAGCTCACAAGGTCTGCCAAGAAGACAAGGAAAAGAGAAGCGTTCTCAAGACCTCCCTGATTCAGCCACACCAGGGCCCCGAAACAAAAAGCAAAACATCCCAGAGATGCCCTGGCTTTCTCTTGGATGTCCCCTGATGGTCTGGGGAAGACCCAGGAGGTGAGGAGGAGAGGATGAAGGAGGAGGCAAAGAACTGCCTAGGGCACCTGGGCATTCTTGTGGGATTGACTGGGACACTCATGCCCCCCACTGAAGGCTGTCACCCACTCCCTGTGCATGCACCATTGCCGAGGGAAGAGAGACCCAAGGAACAGGGTAACTCTGTGACTACCAGAAAAAGAAGTCCAGAAAAGGGACCATATTTACAGACAGACCTGTGGTCCAACCCTATGGCTTACTGGACATGTGGCCTAGAGAGCAAGTTCTTGGGCTTTCTGTGCCAGTGTCCTGATATGCACAGGGAGGGCACAATATGCCCTGTACTGGACTCTGTGAGGATAAAGTGACTTCATGAACACAAAGTCCTAGCATGGTGCCTGGCCTGGCCACAGTGAGTGTGTGCACACACTAGTATGAACACCCTTGTGCTCTCACAGGTACTCACCTATCTCCCTCATACATACCACTTACACACACTCACACTGCACACCACATATCACTCTCACACCACATCTATAACACAAAGACACACACACACACAGCAGAGGCAGCTGCCATGGAAAAGGGAAGAAAAACCACTCAAGGAGACAGCTCTATCTGGCCAGCTGCTCTACCTTCTAGAAAACCCATCTCTGTGTCTCCAGGAACACACCTAGAAGACAGAAGGCCCCAGGGTTTCACTTCTCCAAAGTGTCTGAAGGAAGCCCCCACAAAGAGACCTGAACAGTTCCCTCTCCAGGCTGGACACTGTTCAGGGAACCCATGGCAGTCACTAGCAGAGACCCATGGCCCTCAGAGGAATGAATATAGGCTTCCCACCTTCCCAGGATCACAGAATGTCCTCCTCCACTCTGAACCTGAGTGGGAGACAGGGCAACAAGGGTGCTGGCCTGGGTGGGGCACCAGGTCAGAGGAGAAGGCTCTTCCCTGCAGCCCTGGCCTCCCGCCTCTCCACACAGGCCTTCCCACCTGACGGGCGCACCACGGCCCTGTGCCGGCCTCAGCAGCACAGTGATGGTGTTCTCAGACTCTCCCAGGGGAGACGGCATGTCGGCATAATCAAAGCTTGGAGCTGGAGAAGGGGACAGAGACACAGCATGGAGCCCGGCCACCAGATAGGAAAAGCCAGGTCTCCAGCCCCCTTGGCCAACATCCTCAAATCTCCTCCTCTGAAGTCTTAGTCTCCTCTTTCTCTCTGACCCAAGCTTCCCTGGCCCCTGACCTTGGGCACTGACCTCTGACCTCAACCCTCTGATTCCACCAACCAGTCTCCTGATTCCTATGAGTTCTCCTCCCTGAGCCCTGATGTCAACCCCTAAATGGCACCTTTGTCTCAGCAGGGGTCCTCTGTAAGCACCCTCAGAATGCCCTCCCCCCCACCCCGCAGGGCTCCCAGAACCCTGGGATTCTGGGGCCACTGCAAAGAGGCCAGACTGGGCAGGCTCACCTGAGATGTTGGTGGTGATCTCAGTGAGGGCTGCCTGGCCAAAACCCTTGGCTGTGCGAGCCCGCACAGAGAATAGGTAGGTGGTACCGGGGTGCAGGTTGGAGAAGACATGGTAGGTCTCATTGCGGAGCTTGGAGATAGTGCGTCGTGGGCCAGGCACGTTCACTGCCGGGTCTGACGACTCGATGCTCTGATAGCTGATCTGGGGGCAGGATGGGCAGAAAGGAGGCATGAGGATAGGCATCACTGATCCAGCATCCTCCCACCCACCAGGGAGCTAGGGATGTGATGGGCAGATGGGAAAGGCCCAGCAGGACTGTGGGTTCCCCTGAATCCAGGTTTCTGGGCACCTTTACCTCTTCCTCCTGCCCCCAGACCCTGCTGTAGTTGAAGAAACCATCATGGCCACTCTGTCTTCCCTTGGGGCGTCCCTCTCTACACTGTCACAGCAGAGGAACAGAGAGCCATCCTCCCACTGGGGTCCCCTTTCACCTCATACTGAGTGATGAGGCCGTTGGGTTCCTGGGGCTCCTCCCATTTGAGGAAGATCATGTCCTCCAGTGAGTGAAGGTCAGTGACTCAGCTGCAATCCCACCAGGCACTGTGAGGGCAAGGGGCAGAGGCAGAGGAAAGAAGCCTTTGACTCCAAATACCAGGGTTCACATCCCAGCCTTGCATTTCCTAGCTGGTTTACAACTTCTCTGAGCCTCAGTTTCCTCATCTATGAAATGGGGACTAAACAACATGGTGTACATAAAGCCTTAAAATGCCCATTGGCAATTCATATGGTCAGCTTGCTCCTGAGTCCTCCAAAGGGGCAGCTGGCATCTTCACTGTGCTGCAGGTTGCATTCAGCCAAGGTTCTGGAAAGTTGGAAGGCTCCAATTTGGCTCTGGTTAGTAATTTTCAGAAAATACAGATATTTGCCAGAGAAATGAGAAACTATTACATTAGGGTGTTGGGAGCATGGGTAGCAAAGTTCTCTTGTCTAAAAATGTCTAATTACATAAACAATGTACAAAATCTAAGTGATCATAAAAGAAAATTAATGGCACCTACAACTGCATCATCCAAACATAAAATTTTAGCATAAACACGTTCAGGTATGGCTCAGTTTGGTTTTAATGTTTAGTCTTAACAGCAGACACAAGGATTTCACCTAGGAAGAAAAGTCTCTGACTGGGAAAACACTTTCATACAACATTGTGGGAAGCTGAAGTCCTCAGGAGGGGACAAGTCAATGACAGTCAACAGTCAGTGAAAGCTAGGCAGCTTTGTGTTAAAATAGGCACTTTGCAAGGCCACTATCCACCCATCAAAATGGTAAAAAGAAAAGGACAATTCTGAGTGTCGGTGGAGACACAGAGCAGCCAAAAGTTTCACACTCTGCTAGTAGAGTGTAAACTGGTACAAGCATTGACCCAGGGAAAACTGTCTGGCCATACCTACTATAGATGAACATATAGCCTATAACCTAGCTATTCTACTCCTATACACAAACCCATCGAAATCTGTATATCTACCCAAAAAAAATCCACAAGGGTTTTACTTACAGCATTATTCAAAATAGCCCCAAATTGGAAACAACCCAAATGCCAGATGACAGTGTGTGGCATATTCATTCCCATAATGAACTCCACAGCGATGAGAATGAATTCGCTAGACTGCACACACAATGTGCAATGTGGCTGAGTCTCCCAAGCAGAAAGCTGAGAGAAAGAAGGGAGCATAAGAAGAATACTCGCTGTATGGTTCTATTCATATAACATCATATAAGCAAAAAATAATCTATGGTGTTACAGGTCAGGATAAGTCACCCTTGGGAAGTGGTGGTCTGGAGGGAACACTAGGGGTACTGGTATGTTAGTCCAAGTTTAGGTTTCCCAAAGTATCCAACCTATGAGAACTCACCTGAGTTGACCACTTAAGATAAGTACACTTCCTATAAGAATTACACTTATAGGCAGGGCCAGGTGTGGTAGCTCACATCTGTAATCCCAGCTACTAGAAAAGCAGAGATTAGAGGGCTCCAGGTTCAAGTCAAACCCAGGCAAAAAGTTAGCAAAACCCTATCTCAACCAATAAGCTGGGTGTGGTGGCATGAGTCTGTCATCCCAGCCACTGGGGAGACATAGGTAGGAGGATCAAGGTACAAAGCTGGGTCTTGGGCAAAAATGAGAGACCTTATTAGAAAAATAATTAAAACAGGGCTGGTCGAGTGGCTCAAGTGATAGAACACCTGCCTAGTCCTAAGTTCAAATCCCAGTACAGCCCAAAACAAAAAATTATACTAAGTGAAAAGTAAAAAAAATATTAAATAATAAGCAATTGTTGGAGGCAGGGGAAGGGAGGAAAAAAAAAAAAGACAAGACCAAGTCAGCCAGGGTGGAGTGAGGCAGTCATAAACAACATAACAGGAGTGGGAGGGGGGTGCAGAAGTCAACTTGAGATTGCGTGTGATGCTTCAGGGCAATGCCATCTGTCCTCGCTCTCCTGCAGCAAGTCGTGAGCACAACGCATGCTCACTACTGTGGGTGACTGAGGCTTTATGGAAACCAAGGAAAGTCGCTGAAATCTGTGCCTGGACCAGTGCTGTGCAGAAAGCCAGAAAAACGAGCAACCAAGGGCTGAGGGGTTCCTTGGGGAGGCTGTGGACCTGTGTGGCACTGGAGCACAGTTGTTCAGAGTGACAGCATTGGGGGTGGACGTGTGGCTCAGTGGTAGTGTTGGCTTAGCGTGAACAAGGCCCTGGTTCAGCACCAACACAAAAACAAAAACAGAATGACAACTCTGAAGCCAGATCACCAGGTTGGACACCCAGCTCTGCTAACTATCACTTAGCTATGTAAGGTCATCTATAAGATGGGAATCGATCAGCCTCTGACCACACAGGGCTGCTGAGGGGGTTCTGTGACTAAGGTGTGGAGCACGTTCAAACAGTAGAAGACATGTAGTGATTGCTTGGTAAATTCTAGCCTGACGTATACGGAATGCTGCACCCAGCGATGACAGCATCCAAGTCCTTTCAAAGTTGCTCATATTTAAACACATGCTGGGCCACAAAACAAGGGGCAACTGTCACAAGACTAAGTTTAGAGTAGTGCTCTGACCACGGAGGGCTAAGCTAGAAATCAGTAATAAAAAGACAATGAGAAGTCCTGATTGCTTAGGAGCCAAGTAAAGTAATTCTAAATAGCTATTGACTTAAGAAATTGTAACAGGAATTAGGAAAATTTTTAACTGAATGATAATGAAGACAGGACATATCAAAACTTATGGGGTCTGGGGACATAGCTCAGTGGCTGAATGCCTGCATATCATGCACAAGGCCCTGGGTTCAATTCCCAACACTAAACAACTAGAAAAATTTATGGGATGCAGTTAAAGAAGGGTTGAGAGGGAAACTTACAGCTTTAAGTGAATATATTAGAAATGAAGCAGGCATGGTGGCTCATGCTTGTAATCTCAGCAGAGATTAATCTAAACTGAGGCCACAGGATGGAAGTTTAAGGAAAGCTGGGCTACACAGTGAGATTCTATCTCAAAAAAAAAAAAAGAAGGAAGAAAGGGAGGGAGGGAGCAAGGAAAGAAAGTCTCCAAATTAATGACCTAAGAAACACTCATCTCAAAAAGCTAAAAGAATAGCAAAACAAATCCAAAGAAAGTATTAAAAAAAGGAAATTAGGAATAGACACAGAATCTAAGCCAGAATGTGGTTCTATGGGAAAAAAATAATAAAATTTATACACCTCTAGCAGGAGTAAAAGAGAAAAAATACAAACTATAAATATCAGGAATGAAAAAAGGCTATCATTATATACAGTCTACTGATATTAAATAAATATGAGCATTACTGTAAACAACCTTATGTCAAAACATTCGACAACTTATGTTGTCAACTTTTTAGACACAAAACACAATGCACCAAAATTGACCCAAGAATATAAAATCTGAGTATTCCAATGTCTATTCTATAAATGAAAACAGTTATTAAAACCCTTGCTATAAAGAAAACTCCAGACTCAAGTAGCTTCACTGCTGAGTTCTTCTAAACACGGACAGAAGGTCCCTTGATCCCAAAGTCCTGCAGGGCATAAACACAGCTCTTGCTGCTCCGTTACACAGTTGATTTAATCCTAAACAGGATTAGTCCCTGGTGGGTATGTGGAGCCCTCAGGCCCCGGGAATCCATGGGGCTGGCACTCTTACCATCCTCATCCGTCTGGAAGGTGACCTCCTTGCCCTCCTTGTGGCCCTCCGGGTTGGTGAGGATGAGGCGCACGTGGACATGCCGGTAAGGCAGCAGGTTCCTGATGGTGTAGCGGCTGGCACCCCGCTCCATCTTCACACACTCCCGGATGGTCTGGTTGTGGCTGCTGCCCAGGGAGTAGTGATAGCAGAGGGACACAGTGTAGGTGTGGCAGCGCGTCACGTTGTAACCCAAAGGTTCCCACTGCAGCGTCAGCTGGCGAGCCTGGATCTCAGCGAAAGCCAGGCCTTTGGGGGCCCTCATGGGCTCTGGGGACCCCAGGAAGCAGAGAGAATGGGAAGAGAGGAAGAGGGACAGGGAGAGAGAGCATCAGCCAGCTGCCAGAAACCATCCCTCTCTGCGGTACAACCCCCAGAACTGATCGGTGTGAATCCTAGCTCTGCCAATCCACAGCTGGCAACCACTACACAAGTTACTTCATTTCTCCAAGCCTTAGTTTCCTCAACTGCAAAATGGGAATATAACAGCCCTACTTCATATCATTGTGACATTTAAGGTGATACATGCAAAGCATATATGACAATGGCTAATGCACAATAAGCCCTCAAAAAAGTAGCTATTGCCAGACATGGTGGTACATGCCTGTAACCCCAGTACTGGGGAAGCTGAGGCAGGAGATCTCCAATGCACAATCCCCCTGCCTCAGCCCACCTCACCCGCCCCAATACTGAGATTATAGGTGTGTGCCACCATGCCCAGCTAAATTCTTTTTTTAAAAAGCACAGTTTATCTCCTAATTCAAAATCATCCTGCATTACATCAGGACAGTCAAATCAACCTGTTGCTTTATTTTTCTTAACTTATTAACTCTAATAATTAACTTATTAACTCCAAACTAATGAAACAACTTATAGTAATACATATGATACAATAACATATAGAAACCAGGATAATGGTGGGGGATGAGAGCCAAATAGTTAAATACAAAGAATGACTGGAAAACAGAAACAGAAATGCGTGCCTTTACGTCCCAGCTAGGTGTCTAAAGATAAGGTTCATATTCAGTAGAGAGTTTCCTGACTTCCAAACCAAAAAGGGAAACAGAGCTGGTAATAGGACGACGCTAACACCAGCTAAGAAATGAGGAGGGGAGGCTGGGTGTGTCAAGCAGTTTTCTAGAGGCCTTAAAATGCTTCATCTCATTTAACCTGTACTGTAATCCTCTAACAGAGGTCCTCTTAGTAGCCCCATCTGTCATACAGAGGTGAGAACAGAAGAACAGAGACTAAGTCACTTGCCCATGGTCACACAGACAACAAGTGTTGACACTGAGGTCCAAGCCTGAACAGACTGGCTTTGGAACCCTCACTCTTACCAAATTCTTCCTCCCTGTGAGGAACTCGCTGCTTAAAAAAGTTCCGTGTTCATGCCCAGGAGAGAGACAGCTACTCAACAGGTGGGAGAGGTGCTTGTGCCACAGTCTCTTGACTTCAGAGGCCTGACAGTTATTTTATAAATAGAGAAACCACGACTTTCAAGTGAGGACCAGAGGAGCCTGGGGCTCAGCCGCCAGCCCCGTGTCTGCATGACTAGAGTATGATCCTAAGCAAACCTCCAGACCTCGATCTCCAAATCTGAAAAATGAAAGAGGAAGCCACACCTGCTTCTTATGACCCCTCCTCTCTTGCACCCTGATTCTGTGACACAGAAGTCCTTCGAGTGCCTGTAAAGTGGCCTCAGTTAGGAATCCCAGGATCCCTTCCAGAACAGCTGAGAAAGAAGATTGAGCACAACCTGGGATCGTTGTGCATCACTAATTTGTTCAGAAGGCCCCTGATGAAGAAGATACAGAGTTCAAATCCCAGTGCTACCAAAAAAAAATATTTAAAAAGCTGGGTGCCAGTGGCTCACGCCGGTAATACTAGCTACTAAGAAGGCAGTGATCAGGAGGATCATGGTTCAAAGCTACCCCAGGCAGACAGTTGTCAAGATCCTATCTAAAAAAAAAAAAAAAAAATCACAGAAAATCACTGGTGCAGTGGCACAAGTGGTAGAGTGCCTGCTTAGCAAGCACAAAGCCCTAAGTTCAAATCCCAGTATCACCAAAATAAATAAATAAAGATACTAAGGGAAATAGCAGCTTGGGCTGCTCCTTACTCAGGGGCATTTGGTGACAGTGGTAGATGTCACACACCATAGAGTTTCTGTTCCCACCCAGCCTTCCCTCTCCCCTGGGTCCCAGGCAAGTGGCCTGTATTCAGGCCACATATGGGCCCATCCAAAAGGGATTTCAGCACCTTCTAGGAAAAAGGCCTACCTCTGGACTGTCTCCCTTCTCCCCAAAAGCAAGATCTACCCATGTCTTGTCACACAGGGACATTAAAGGGCCAGCTTCCACTGCTCTCTGCAAAGTGAGGGCTGCCCACAGCAGGCCACCTGCCATACTTAGGTTTTCTCTCCCAGTCCTGGTCCAGAGAGTTCTTAGTTTTTATTTTTATGTAGTATTTTTGTTTTGGTGGGGGTGGGGTGTGTTTTACTTTGTTTTGGTGGTATTGGGGTTTGAACTCAGGGCCTCACAGTTGCCAGGCAGACACTATCACTTGAGCCATGCCCTGGGACTTTTTAGCTTTAGCTACTTTCCAAATAGAGTCTCACTTTTACACCTGGCCAGCCTGGACCTTGATCCTCTTATTTACACCTCCCACATTGCTGGGCTAACAGATGCACACCACCACACCCAGGTTGAGAAGGGGTCTCAGAGAATTTTTTGCAGGGGCTGGCCTCGAATTGTAATCCAACCAATCTCTGCCTCCCAAGTAGCTGAGATTACAGGTGTGAACCACTGTGGCCTGACTGTGATTTTTTTTATTTCTTTTTTTATTCATATGTGCATACAATGCTTGGGTCATTTCTCCCCCCTGCCCCTACCCCCTCACTTACCACCCACTCCGCCCCTCCCTCTCCCCCCCACCCCCTCAATGCCCAGCAGAAACTATTTTGCCCTTATTTCTAATTTTGTTGAAGAGAGAGTATAAGCAATAATAGGAAGGAACAAGGGTTTTTGCTAGTTGAGATAAAGATAGCTATACAGGGAGTTGACTCACATTAATTTCCTGTGTGTGTGTGTTACCTTCTAGGTTAATTCTTTTTGATCTAACCTTTTCTCTAGTTCCTGGTCCCCTTCTCCTATTGGCCTCAGTTGCTTTTAAGGTATCTGCTTTAGTTTCTCTACATTGAGGGCAACAAATGCTAGCTAATTTTTTAGGTGTCTTACCTATCCTCACCCCTCCCTTGTGTGCTCTCGCTTTTATCATGTGCTCAAAGTCCAATCCCATTGTTGTGTTTGCCCTTGATCTAATGTCCGCATATGAGGGAGAACATAGGATTTTTAGTCTTCTGGGCCAGGCTAACCTCACTCAGAATGATGTTCTCCAATTCCATCCATTTACCAGCGAATGATAACATTTCGTTCTTCTTCATGGCTGCATAAAATTCCATTGTGTATAAATACCACATTTTCTTGATCCATTCGTCAGTAGTGGGGTATCTTGGCTGTTTCCATAACTTGGCTATTGTGAATAGTGCCGCAATAAACAGGGGTGTGCAGGTGCCTCTGGAGTAACCTGTGTCACAGTCTTTTGGGTATATCCCCAAGAGTGGTATTGCTGGATCATATGGTAGATCAATGTTTAGCTTTTTAAGTAGCCTCCAAATTTTTTTCCAGAGTGGTTGTACTAATCTACATTCCCACCAACAGTGTAAGAGGGTTCCTTTTTCCCCGAATCCTCGCCAACACCTATTGGTGGTGGTGTTGCTGATGATGGCTATTCTAACAGGGGTGAGGTGGAATCTTAGTGTGGTTTTAATTTGCATTTCCTTTATTGCTAGAGATGGTGAGCATTTTTTCATGTGTTTTTTGGCCATTTGAATTTCCTCTTTTGAGAAAGTTCTGTTTAGTTTACTTGCCCATTTCTACATTGGTTCATTAGTTTTGGGAGAATTTAGTTTTTTAAGTTCCCTATATATTCTGGTTATCAGTCCTTTGTCTGATGTGTAGCTGGCAAATATTTTCTCCCACTCTGTGTGTGTTCTCTTCAGTTTAGAGACCATTTCTTTTGATGAACAGAAGCTCTTTAGTTTTATGAGGTCCCATTTATCTATGCTATCTCTTAGTTGCTGTGTTGCTGGGGTTTCATTGAGAAAGTTCTTACCTATACCTACTAACTCCAGAGTATTTCCTACTCTTTCCTGTATCAGTTTTAGAGTTTGTGGTCTGATATTAAGATCCTTGATCCATTTTGAGTTAATCTTGGTGTAGGGTGATATACATGGATCTAGTTTCAGTTTTTTCCAGACTGCTAACCAGTTTTTCCCAGCAGTTTTTGTTGAAGAGGCTGCTTTTTCTCCATCGTGTATTTTTAGCGCCTTTGTCAAAGACAAGTTAGTTATAGTTGTGTGGCTTCATATCTGGGTCCTCTATTCTGTTCCACTGGTCTTCATGTCTGTTTTTGTGCCAATACCATGCTGTTTTTATTGCTATTGCTTTGTAATATAGTTTGAAGTCAGGTATCGTGACACCTCCAGCATTGTTTTTTTGACTGAGTATTACCTTGGCTATTCGTGGCCTCTTGTGTTTCCATATAAATTTCACGGTAGATTTTTCAATCTCTTTAATGAATGTCATTGGAATTTTGATGGGAATTGCATTAAACATGTAGATTACTTTAGGGAGTATCGACATTTTTACTATGTTTATTCTACCAATCCATGAGCATGGGAGATCTCTCCACTTTCTATAGTCTTCCTCAATCTCTTTCTTCAGAAGTGTAAAGTTTTCCTTGTAGAGGTTGTTCACATCTTTTGTTAGGTTTACACCTAGGTATTTGATTTTTTTTGAGGCTATTGTAAATGGAATTGTTTTCATATATTCTTTTTCAGTTTGCTCATTGTTAGTGTATAGAAATGCTAATGATTTTCCTATGTTGATTTTATATCCTGCTACCTTGCTGTAGCTATTGATGGTGTCTAGAAGCTTCTGAGTAGAGTTTTTTGGGTGTTTAAGGTATGGGATCATGTCATCTGCAAATAGGGATATTTTGAGTTTCTTTACCTATTTGTACTCCTTTTACTCCTTCTTCTTGCCTAATTGCTCTGGCTAGGAATTCCAGTACTATGTTGAATAGGAGTGGAGATAGTGGACATCCTTGTCTGGTTCCTGATTTTAGAGGGAATGGTTTCAGTTTTTCTCTGTTAAGTATAATGCTGGCTATAGGTTTGTCATATATAGATTTTATAATGTTGAGGTACT